GTGCTTTGTTACCTAATAATACCATGTCTACTTGGTCATCGTCTGTTAAAAAACAACTTGATAGTCTTGGATATAGCTACTTATGGAATTCTCTAAACCTTGATATGAATTATTTGCCAATGTTAAAACAAAGGCTGCGTGATCAGTACGTTCAAACATGGAATGATACAATAATGAATCAATCTAAGTTATATTATTATAGAAAATTCAAATGTGAGTTTAAATATGAAAAGTATCTAGATATTGTTACAAACGAGCATCAAAGAAAAGAATTGTCTCGTTTTAGACTCTGTTCCCATCTTCTTGAAATTGAAAGTGGTAGATTTGCAGGTATTGATCGAAACCTACGAACTTGTAAACTTTGTTCACTTAATGTTGAATCTGAATATCATTTTTTGTTATGCTGTCCACTCTATAGAAACCTTCGTCGAAAATATAATGTTAATTATTCTTTTCCATGCATTAGTAAATTTACTAGATTATTGTCTTCAAGTAATAACAGAACTATTAGGAATATTGCCAAATTTGTATTTTATGCTATGCATTTGAGAAATGAAAAACTTGCAATTATTGCTGCTTCTTAGGTTCTTGTATTATAACTGTATTGTATTACATGTATTGTATTTATGTTAAATGTAAATTGTATTATCTTGGCCATCCTTTTGTATATTGTAAATGGCCAAAGGTATATTGTATATGCCGATTTGCCAATAAACTGAAACTGAAACTGAAACTGCTAACTTTTTATGATATGTGATTATGTATTTACCTTTGTTATGATTCACGACATAACACAACGTTGTTCTCTTTAAAATTTAGCTTCACATACATCAGACATGGTGTTATTTGTATTAGTTTCGTATTAAGCAGATCTATTTAATTGTTTAAAATTAATTTATTGAACTTAATTAGAAATATTCAGGTTAGATAATTTCACCCAAAATTGTCCTGTATTTACCCATTATATTTGCATTTTTACGGCTACGTTTTAATTGACGCTATACGTTATAAACGAACAAATGTCATATCTTCTGGGACCTTATAATTTGATTATAAATAGATAGAATGGAATAAAAAAGTGGATTTGTTTAAACCAGGGTCTTTCAAATAGATAGACCCTGTTTAAACCTTTTTCCTTCAATGCATTGTGTTGTAGCCAGGATAAATGTTTCGTACTAATTATTTCCATATGTAGAAAATTATTTACTTTTTGTATGATAAACTAACTTACTCGATCTGTCAATGTCGGTGTATTTGGTAACATAATAATTATATAGATAAAACAACTTAAAATTGACAAAAATTAAGATAATTTCAATCTTAATATTTCTGTACCATTGTCTAAGACAAGTAGCTTGTCTAAGGAAAATGGTGGACTTTGCAGGCATCTAAGCGTGGAATTGATAAAAATAGCTGATTGGCTTATCTCTGTGGCCCCTGCCAGTTTGATTGACAGGCGGCGTAATGTCAATTGGGAACGAAGAGGCCTCGATTCACGACAAAACCAACATAATGGGTTTTCGACCAGCATGGATCCAGACCAGCCTGTGCATCCGCGCAGTCTGGTCAGGATCCATGCTGTTCGCTTACAAACCCTATAACAAGTAGAGAAACTGACAGCAAACAGCATGGTTCCTGATCAGACTGCGCAGATGCGCAGGCTGGTCATTATCCATGCTGGTCACAAACGTATTATGTTGGTTTTGTCGTGACGCGGCTTATTTGAATTTTGAAAAAAAAAATCAAAGTACCTGTATGAAACAAATATGTTTGCATATTTCCTTAACAGGTGCTTGATGCTTAAACAAAGTCAGGAATTGCAACATTACAGTACGTTCTGGAAAATGTTATTCTGTTTACGCATACAAGATTTATGTTTGTTAAATAGCAGGTATGTTAAACTTTCTCGAAAGTCGACCATAAAGTTATGAAAAAAACATATAGCTTTACCTGTTATTAATTTTATAAAAATTTTGCATTAGATATAGCTTTATTTATACTCTTGAAGTTCTTTGACAGGGATGTGTACCTGTTCATTTGTTATTCTATATTTCATCATACTACATTTAACTAAATAACTATTGCATAAGGCTACTTTTCATATCACTCAAGACATTGCTGTGATGTACTGGTGTTTGTACACAAAATATTACATGCAAGCTAATATTACTATGGAGAACAAGTTATGGTTTTTATATGTGTCACACAGCGTTGTCTCGAAGTTTTATGATTTTATTTTTAAATTGTTAAACATTGAACTGTTAAAAGCTCTACTATCAATTTATCTTGTCACATGATATCACATAAAAATCATTTGAATTATTTATGAAGTTACAGAGTGTTGTTAATTTTAAGTTGGCACAAAATTTAGAAGGATTTTGAGTCATTCAAAAATATTCATTAATTCAAGTTTTTATTATTATTTTATATTATGTAAGAGGCTTTGATATTAAACTTTCTTTTTATTTTTGCTTGTTACGTATTTTTTATGCCCCTATATGTAATATAAAAATTTGTTTTTTTTTCACGATTTCTACACCCTAATGATAATGTTTACAATATTCAAATGTTGACTTTTCAAGAAAGTAATACTTCACTTCAAAAGTAGGTTTATTATAACTTGTTACAAGATTTCACCTGAAGATGGTCCGATACAAAATAGCAGATTTTGTTGTTAGAGCGTCTGGTGCTTGGCTTCGCGTCCATCAATATACATTTGGTATCTTATCTTTATGCATACACCCCCTTTTAGTTAACATTACAGACCTTTTAGCTGATTTTTAGAAATGATCTACACTTGAAAATACCGGTATTATTTTCTATATTTATTCTGTTAACAAGTGTTATTCCAAGAACTGTAAATGTTGAACCTTTTTCCCCCGGTATCTGGCAACGTTTCTTATTTTTATGATTTGATTAAAAAAAATAGTAAAAAATAATAAAAAACGTTGGTATTTCTTTTTTTATTTCGTGTTCAAGAAATTTCAATAATTCAACGTTAGTATTATTCGGTTAATTTTAGACAAATATTTATTGATCAAATCACTCTTACATCTTTGAAATATAATATACTATTTCTTATCTACAAATGAGATATTATTAAAAATATACAAAGTATGTGACAAAAGGTCAACCTCATACCAAAATGATATTATCAACTTCCCGATGGACAGGTATAGCAATCAAATGTCTCGTGCCCATCAAAAGCGAATATCAAATACAGCAACTACAAAGTAATTGCAAATATAATTGGCATTTAAGGAGGTGAAAGAACCAATAAATTAATGACATCTGTGAGTAATGACTAGGACATTTATAACCTTATATATGTACTTTTAGTGACCATAACAAATGTTAAAACTACTTACAGTAACATTCTGTCTACTGTCCACAGCATACTTATAAATCTAATAATAAGTATCCACTGCATACATATGATTATAATACAATCATGGGGAAAGGTTTCATGCTATACAAACTAAAAGAAATATATATTTTTGGTTATAAATAGAACAGAACAGAACAGAACAGAACAGAAATTTTATTAAAGACTTAAGCATACAGCTCATCGTCATAACATACAATAATACACACAAATCATATAAATTATAAATAAACTTTACAACAAATATTTGTCTAAATTCAACAGTTGAGAGTGATCTGAGTAAGCATGTTATTAGAGTACATATATCTTTCATAGGAATATTATGACGTTGTTATAATAATAACAAAAAAGATTTATAAGTTATTTAATTGGTCAGTTCTCTGTCTAAAGCATTTAATACAATAAATTGCAAGATTATGTAGAGTCTTTTTACATTTTGAATTTAGCAGTTCTATAAATTTAAACATACTTGGACGTGTATAGTAGAATCTAGGAATATATTTTCTCCTGTTTTCATGATAAAAAGGGCAAACTAAAACAAAGTGGAATTCGTCCTCGATATCATTTGAATTGCAAATTACACAATAACGACGATTTCTTTCAATATTGTTATGTCGACCAGTTTCAATATGCAGGTTGTGTGAATTTAGTCTTAATCTAGCAATAGCATTTCTGTATCTAGGAATATCAACAATAGTGAGGTATTCAGAACGATTAAAAATAGACTTAATATGTCTATACAAAAATAACGAACTGCATGTCTGAACACTCGCATGCCAATTAGTCATATAAATATCCCTAAGGCGATTATTAAACACTGGTATAAATACATCTATATTAACTGATTCTGGAAATTCCCAGACATCACAAAATCCGGCATTTTGTAATAAAACACGTATTTTCGACGACCAATTAACAGTAGCAGTATTATGAAAAATGTCTAGTCTTTGATCTGTAACAATAGTTCTGATTATACAGTTTTCCATTTTTCGACCATACAATTTTAAAAAATATTTAACAATTCGAACATATCTATTAATGTACAATGGGAATCATGGAAAATAATATCGGGGAAGTTATCTCCCCTTGCAAAAGTCCTAAGTTACATTCGAAAAAATCTGATAGAGAATTCATATGACTTACACATAACTTGACACTGTCATACATTGATCGTAAAATAACAAACAATTTGCCATCAATGCCTGAGTTAATAAGCTTATACCATAAACAGCTTCTATCAATCAGGTCGTATGCCTTTTTATAATCAACAAAACAACACATTAAAAAGGATTTATTTTTCATCTGCTTTTCAATAAGTGAATTCAATATAAAAACAGCATCAACTGTGCTAAAGTGAGATCTAAAACCAAATTGTGCATCCGTTAGAATATCATAATCCGTGGCCCATTTCTTTAATCTATTATTCAAAATAGCAGTAAATAGCTTCGCAAAACAACTGATAAGGGTAATACCTCTATAATTATTCGGGTCACTTGTGTCACCTTTCTTATATAGTGGTATTATAACCCCCTTTGACCAACTAGGTGGAAATTTACCCTGCTCTAAGATATAATTAAATAACAACTGAATAGGACGTACTAATACATCAATAAATGATGCATCAAATTTGAATTTTAAATATAGGTAGTAAAGGTTCTTGGAATTTTGAAATACATGATGGCAATATGGCCATGACAACACAACGATATCTCGTACATATACATGTTTATAAAAAAATACTATTTGACAATATCAATGTGCATATACTACCATGTATACATGTACATTATTTTAATAGACACTTAAATACTATATAAAATCAATGTGTCTAATGACATATTCAGAACTAATTGTCTCGTCTTGTGTTATTCAGATCTTTTGCCGCTTTTTAAGCTAAAGTCATTTTAATTTAAAGACACATAATACACTAAGCAGATCGGTACAGCAGACAGAAATTGCTTTTACGAACCCACTAATACATAATGTTGATAAACCTAAGCATATATTACTGATAATAATGTATATTAATTTGAAACGATCGTATTTCCATTGGAGATAGTTCAATGTTTAAATCATTGTCCATATGATTAATGACATTTTGTAGTCGGTCACCTGAAAATATACAACATATGGTATTGAGATTACGAAAGTCATATCAAGACTGTCAACTTTCTTTTCTGATCTTCTTTCATCGGCGTTGTATAATTGCTCCCTGTCACTTCAAAGACACGTGTTAATGCAAAGATTTATCTTCGATCATTACTTATAAAATTATATCTTCGTTTTTTTTAAACCATATCTACGTTGTATAGCAAAATTCATGACATAAAAAATATGTGCTTTATTTAAATTTATTTCAAGTTATAAGATTAATTTTTAATATATTCTTATCAATTTATCATTTACATACAATGTACAAATTTATCACTATAACTTATTTATATTTTTGTATGTGCTGTTAAATAATTTAAATTCTATAATATACAGAAAAAATCTTACCTTTTGTTTTCCATTTGAATCTGGCCATATCCTCTTTCTTCATGTTAGCACCGAGAGACAATTCTATAGCCTCGATTATACTAAATGGTCGAAACAAAGTCTAAAATATTATAAAAAAGTAACATTCGTTTATTGAAACACCATAATAAATTATATTTCATGTTCAATTAAAAACTCATTATGCCTCAAAAATGCTACCATTTTTTTAACCAAATATTTATCAGTTTACCATATACATAAACTATCTTTTACCACTTTGTTATGTTGGCAACATGTATAATTATGGTGAATAAGTTTACATTGGGCTACATAAACAACATATTAATCCATGTTTAGCGCTACTTCTTCCATTGTTAAACATCTTACATGCTCTTAATCCATTATCAACACATTATCAACACATTATCAACACATTATCAACACATTATCAAACACATGTCTGTCATTTCAAATGAATTGAAAAATATAGATTTTTAAGGAATAATTTGCCTTTAATGATATATGATAAACCTAGAACAATGCATAGATCCCTAACCTGTCTAAATCTTATCAGATTAGTGGGTTACAATAAAAAAAATCACCACAAAACATTTTCTTTTAAAAAGTGCACATGACCATGTTTTGTGGTTAAATATATTTTTAAAATGTAAGGTCAAAGTAAGGATCTATCAATAACCTATTTAAATTAACAAAGTTTATTTTGGTATTTAATTCTCAGTTTTTAAGTTAAAAGGACAAAAGAAAAGCAATGGACAATTAAGGGTAGTCTTTCTTTACTGTATGTTTAATTGCGCATATTTACGGACCTACGAATAAATCAAGGTAAATTAGTGTCATTATGAATCAAAATGATAACAGACTATTACCTTTAAGTTAACCGTTTCAGGGCTTGACATCCTCGTGTCCTCTAGTTTTTCAAATATATGTTCTAGTCGCAGTAGCAAAGGTGTGTAGGGTGTTTCTACGATGGGCTCACTCAAAACATCAAGCGTTAACAAATTAATATTTCCTGGTAATTCTGCAGTAACGCCTGACCACTAAAGAAAATAAACGATTTTAAATACATGGTATGAAATCCTCAGACATTGCTGCTAGATAAAGAAATGTAATAGCAATGCAATTAGAAGCGGCATGACCGAGTGGTTGATATTTCGGACAAGTAATGTAATGATCGCTAGCTGCATGGGTTCAAACCCCGTCAGAGGCAAGTCGTTGTTTCCTTTAGCAAGAAACTTTACACTCACTCGCTCAGTACTGATTGGTTCCAGGAACGGATTCGACATTGTGTCTGTCAGTTTATAGCTTCCTGCACAATCAAAATAAAATAAATTCTGTATAAACCAAAAGCAATTCAAGTATAACTCATCATCAACACATCACTTGTTTGATTAAGCAGAACAGACGGACAGGCAAAGTGGACCTGACAGTGTATATTTGTTTTCCAAGGAATTGCAAAAGATGTTAAAAAGATGTTGTCACTGTCATTAGTGCATGCAGATTCTAGTGATTTTGTCGCTTATACATATATAATTATGTAAATGTAAACAGATTTATAAATACACAAAATAATTTTCAAAGTAACCAATAGCCTCTATTGAATATCTATGAAAATTAAAATATGAAGAAAAAAAACAACACAAAATGAAATGTATATGATAAAATTATGTACGAGATTTATATTTCATACAGCATTAAAAGTAATTGTAAGCCATTGCTATTTTGCATTTAAGAATTTGAGCCACACATGATGAATGGTACGAAAAAAAAGTTATTTTCAACCATAAAAAAGAATTAATGATAGTTTTTGTATGAAATATAATCTGAACGTTATTTGTGGATTTAAATACAAATTCGAATATAAATCCATGAGTGTAATTATTTATTTGCATATTTAATGCGACAACATAAAGTAAAAGTGAAATAAAGTGACATGTACTCATATTTCAATAAGTCATCTTTTGTTGAGAAATTCTTTAAACATCCAATAATTTGATTTAACGTTGAAAACAACCTAAATTATTTCATGATAATGGCACCAAACCATGCAACATATTGAGAAGAGTAAATCACTTTAATACAAACGAACCTTACAAATACAAATACAACTCAGTAAGACGACTATACAAGGGAATACATTTTTTAGATTTCTTTACATGCATACTTTTTTCTAAACAAAACGAGGCCAAACATATTAATCCTATTTACCATATATTTGTTTCAAATTAACCACCACTGTTTAAGTTTTTTAATTTACATGACGAGTTTAACAGTGAACAATTAATGGTACCGAGTTTTTTACATAACATTCTGGTTACATTGATATCATATCATGTCAGAATTATAACCATAATTTACCTTCCCATACTTTTTTCAATACTGAAATTAAGCGACTTTTATTTCAAACCGCATTGAGATAATAATGGTTTGCACCCCGTAGATACGGTTATTGATTGTACTCGAATTTCTTTCACAGATTTGTCATCCTTTCACAGATTGAAGTTCGCAAAGTTAAACATTAATCTATAAATGTACTTTTTGCATTATATATGCCGATTGATATTTTTCAAGGTGAATGAATAAAATACAAGTTATTCAAACCAAGGATAAGTTGAACTACCGCGGTACTGTCTTCATCACACTGGTGGCTTAACGGTCCAGTGAAAAGGAAAAACGTTATTCAACACCTATTGTAATCCCTGGTGATGCTTCAACACATTCGTTATAAACTGGATCAATATTTGGTTTTCAAACAGGTTTTACATAAATTAATCAAGTTACTCAAAATACGAAATTTTACCCATTTAAATTGGGGGAAAACAACTTTGTAATGCTATCAGAGAGTTTTACCATAAACATTAGTTGTAATCAAATATTAGCATTTACCTCTTTGAAGGTTTATCTCACAATTTGTTTGAAACCACAAAGAATGATGTTGGTCATTGTCAATGTAAAATATTTATATCAATAAAATTTTATTTTGTATATTTTTTCTTCTTCTTAGACATAATCTATCTTACAACGAGGTTGTAGATATGCGATACTAATAAGAAAAAAATAGTATTGTAAAACTGTCTAATTACTTTCTTATTAAAACAATTAAACGACAAAAGCATTTATATTGGCAATACTAATGTCGGTTTGATATTAAACTGGAGATATACATAATTATAAAATTCTTGTTTCACATTGTCAACCATGATAATTTAAGAGGGAAAATGTATTGGTGTAATCTTAAACTCACTAATGTATTTCGAACGTTTGTCCAGTCGCTGTAATGTGGCTGCCCAGTAGCAAATGCAATAAATGGTTGTAGGTAAACATTCTGGTACAATGGTCGATACACGGATGCTGCATTCGATATCTTGTTGAGCATAATATAATGTTTCCCTATAGTTGAAACATTAAACAGTGTACATATACTAATATCAAAACTAGTGTAACTTATTTATATATATTTGAAAACATGACCATGGCGATTACAATAAGTTCAAAAGTAAATAATTTCAATGAAGTAAAAATGTCGTTTTAATATTTTACAAAGTGCATTAATCATGGTCTGGCTTGTATTGTTTTGAATGATTTTCAGTTGAGGATTCAAGAGCAATGAAATCATGTTTATGCTCAAATTATCACAATCATTATATATGATATAAATATTAACTCTTATTAATTTGGTAATATATATCATCATATATTATCACAATTTATTGAAGATTTTATAAACAGAGTCTTTGACTTACTGTTAATATCCTAACACATTTATAACAATGACATATAGTACAGATTCATCGTATTGACTTTAAGATATGCTCTGGACAAAACTGACTATGAAAACCTTAAAACAGTAATAAATTGTATGAAAAGAAAACAATCAACTAATGTATTTCTTTTATGAGATCTATCAATCTATCAAGTTTCAAGTTGATATCTCTAATACTTCTTCAGTTTTGCTCCCAATAATTATTACATGTAAAAGCTATAATAATTCCAAAATGATATACAAGAGAGCTAAAGTTTTGTGTTTCTGAGATCAATGAGAGCTGTGAAATTTCAAGCTGATTTTTCCATTTTTTTAGTTATACCCAGATTCAAGAGCAATTCCGGACGACCCATTTATGTCAAGTTATTTCCAAAATATTTCAGGGATTTAAAAGTTATGGAACGGACACGAAATGTAGTTTTTTTAATACTTGACCTTTAAGTGTGAACTTGACCTTGGGGTCTCATAACGGTGATCAATTGTACAAAGTTGTTTCAAATTTTTTTTAGCGATTAAAGGTTATGGAGCAGTCACAAAAGTGTTACGGACAGACGGACGGGCGGACTGACCGACGGAGGCAAAATTCTATAACCCCCTCCCGCTTTGTAGAAGGGGGTTAAAAGTACAAAGGTCAATAACTTCAAAGGTTTACAAAAAAGAGTAATGATTCATGCGCACTGCACTTGGGTCTTTTACAGTTTTATACTAAAGTAAAATTGTGAAGGACGCACGGCTGTTGGATAGACTGAACGACGGTAGACGAACGTCCAGACATCATAAAATGATACGGTAACGTGTATGTTTATATTGAATATAACACAACAAAACTATTTTATAAGGTAAAGGCATAATGTTGTATCGAGGAAATAATTATAATCACGTTGTAATGTTTTGTGAGTTTTTATCTAGTTTTTGGTACTCATTTATCACCTGATGTAATTTTTGTAGGCACGTATCAGCTGATGTCATTATTCACAAACAGGTAATACTTCATACACGAACTAAACAGTCTACATATATATAACTGCATTTATGAGCTAATATCTGATTATGATATAACAATATGAAAACGCTTGCTCACCTCTTACAACAATACCTTTTCCACTAGCTCCGTACTCGGTAAGCGGCTCTGTGACACCCAGAGAGTCATCATAAAAAGTTCGCCGATGTATCTTAAAGTAACATAATCATATTATAATCACCAAGATACCCGAGATGTATGCTTAGAAATGGTTTGAAATACAGCACGCTGTCACCTCCGTAAATAATATGATGAAAATGAAAACATATATGTTACAGTGTGTAAATGCGTTGAAAAAGATATATTAAAATGTGGTATAAAATTTATATCAATCACTGATTTGTTGAGAGAGCAGCTAATAAACAGGAAATATTCAACATCAAAATATATTTACTCATTAAACACTTATCTAAAACGTACATTTCCTGTCAATGCCTTTTTTTAAATTTAATTTAGATATTTGTCTCTTTTGAATGCTTCATATGTATCAAATTGAAATGAAGATTATTGCTCTGTCAACTCACAGCAAGTTTGAATATTAATTTGATCTAACTCTAGATATAAACTCAATCACTCAGATTTAATTTTCTCTGAATTTAAATTTAAGTCACCATTAACAAATGTCTGAAATGTACATTTGCAGCACCTGGAAATTTGACAAAGAAACAATATTAATCGGATTAATATATAATGTTTGTAATGTGGCGGTCTTTTACAGAGCACCATCTTTCATCATAATTTATGTATCATGAACTTCATTTGTATCATTAATTTTGCATTTCCATAATCCGTGCATGTACTGCTAGAATTGATACGGATAGAAAATTGTTCATCAATCAGATCAGAAATTACAAATTTGATACAATCGCACAATTTTTTTATGCGGTTAAACGCGGTGACAAAATGATTAATTGTTATAACATGGCTTAGATGCGCATTTCTTTGATGACAGAAATAGATAAGCCTCTCACAATTAATGTTCGTTCAGATATTAACGAATTGTTAATTAAAATCTTACTTAAAGATGAACATGGCCACGTTCACACAAAACAATTAACAAAAGTCGTTGCATGTTTCTGCAATTTATCGCTTCATTGAAACTGTTCGTGCGCCAACGTTTCAAGCAATACAAATTTCAGAAAAAAAGGTAACAGAAATCTAGCGCCAAATTCTAGTACGTTATCACACAGTATTGGTGGAAGGAAGCATCATGCCGGTTTACGTACAGATCAGTAGTTCAAATATAATGTTACATTCAATCAGAAGTTCTTATTAGACTTCAATTATAAATGATTTTATTTGAATGGTGAGAGCTTTTAAATTTGCAAAATGTGTATACACACAAACTTCAACTAAAATGGATTAAAATTAAAATATTCTTTGGTGATATAGTTAAGAATTATATTTCTTCAATGTTTATAAAGGTGTATGCATATATGTAAATGCTCTTGATTATTTAATATTTTTATATATGGTGTAGAGAGAAATTACCATAATTTCAAGGTTACCATCCTGAATGCTTGCTGCACCTTCAGATCTGTCTACTAATATAGTCAGTTGTTTCTCGGCTCTTTCATCCTGATGAAATCAACAAATATCTTACCATTACATAGATAACTTCTAAAATCACATTATCGAGATACTTGGTCTATGTACCAGTATCATAAATATATGTTCTTTGATGAAAAATCTTAATATGTTCATTTCATGCGAAACATGAAACATATATCAAGTATATAAAACAGTTATTACATAGAAATACTTCACAATTAATAATTATAATGAAGAAAATGGTATTTTGTTTGATGAACTAAAATTTAATAATTTACTTTCACATTTAACAACTTTATATTTGAACAATGTATTGAGATTTTCTTGTGTAATTTAATTAACAAAAATTCTAAAGCGATATCTAGCGGCAAGATTAAGGCAGTATAAATACCATGATAGACGCGCGCGAGGTTATAGGATAGTAGTTTCCTGCTACAGGTTCGGATTGATAGAACTGCCATGTGCCTCTCTCATCTCGCCTGCAGGATATATATAATCAACCAAGTAAGAGATTTATCAATTATGTAAAAGGCAACAAACAGTCTGTGAGATACAGACAACTGATACGACATCTTTAGGCGATGCAGCTTTGTAAACAAATAGTATTCCTATTTCGAATTTGATATCATTTTATGTTGGAAATTATGATAAAAAGGAATAATTGAAATCCAGTTTTGTATTGTAGAACTTTATTTAACAAGTAGCAAAAATTCATACTTTCGTTTTAATGTTTCTCTGCCGTTTAAATCGGTATACAGCGTTCCTTCTGTGTTAAGATCTGTCATATACTTTGAAATAATCTCCCTGCCTTCACTACCAGATCTAGATTAGAGACATTTCTAATTAAATTGATATTATAATTTAATTTCAAGTTGGAAAAGGAAAATTCTCAAAGGACCGATACTTAAGAATAATTGATTTTAGTAAAAAAGGGGAAAATAATAAGTTGTATTGATAATACAATTACAATACATCGGACTGTCACGAGGTACAGATGCTTCTGATTTTTTATTAATTATGACCGTAAGAAATACAAAGAAAAACAAACACGTAACCTCTGCTTAATCTAGTGCTACAAAGAGTGGACTGAAGCTTGCTTTACACATTGCCGTCAATGAATGATATCCATCCCACGATATTATAAATGTTGACGTTTTGGGCGGGCTTTAAATTCTAACTTCTTTTGAGTTTTATAATCAGTTGATTACTCAATGAAATTGGACTTATAAAAGACAGCGACTGTCAAAACTATTAGATGTTTAAACCATAAATTGAGTAGCTCGTGTTGATATAATACCATTTGTGATAATAAAATAATAACTTTTGAAATGAATTTTTTTAATATTCATATGACATATGTTTAAATCTGTAGAATATTAACTCACTTTATTCATCACTATTGATGTTGTCGATAAAAACTTACATTGGATTATTTGAATGTTTAGCCAATCTTTCCTCTGACAGCAATAATACATACAGTGATTTCTGACCAGAAGACCTCTACACTGACACAGATTTTACCAGTTCGACAACAATACTTCAAACTGAGGTCAACTGATGTAATCTTAGGTTCAACAATGCTCTTTATATCATTCAGTTTAAATACATTATACTAAATACTAATTTTGTGACTCTTGATTTTACATCAAAAGTAGAGTATATATAAACGTACATCTAGAGACGACGACCAATGCTCAATAAGCTCCGATTACTTTTACTTATGATATATTTATTACTTACAAAGTAATTTAGAGAGTTTACAATCTGTTTGTAGTAATTTTATAGTTGACATCAGTTCCTTTCAAGAACGTAAGACTTACCCTGATGGTATCGGCCCGACAGTCCACTCAATTTCTATATGACTCTGATTGTCATAAAGTCTGATCACTTGTGATGCCCATGAACAGAATTCTTGCCTTATTTCTTGGACTAGACTGCCCTAAATAATATTTTCATTTCATTTAACACAGATGGTCTATTAAAGATTATTTCTCAAATTTACAAAAATAATACACATAATTCATATACATTTTATATACACGTAAGACTAATCAACTGAGATTATTAAGAGGCCTATATAATCATTATCACATGAATATCTGACTATTTACGTATAAAACAGATGAGAACTAGAATACTCTTGATAATCTGATTTATTTCTAAATTGCTATGAAAGAAATAAAAGAAAAAGAAGTGAAATAATTTTGCAATATACTCCACGATACAAAATGGCTGTAAAATAATGATATATGTTTGATAATTTGATTAACAAGTGTATTTTAGCAATTGGGTAAGACAGTTTAACCGTTGATTAAACAAGGGTTAATTTACAGGATTAAAACTATTATACATATCATCTACTTAAAAAACAAATGTCTACGTTGTAATGTCAGAAAGTATCTTACACAACATTACATCAACATTCGTAAAGATGAAAATAAATTTCTCATCCTCTGTCAAACTAGGAAGATCATTATTTAATATAGTAACTTATACATGTATAAATTACTCATTTTTATATCATCAAATAATGAAAACTTGAAAAGGGTAATGAAACTCATTACACAAAACAGACAAAATCTAAGGGTAGACCCTCATAACGGTTAGTTGTCTCGACTCTCAGCTCTAAATTTGGCGGACGATTCAGACATTAAAATCTTACAATATGTTTCCGTACAGTAAAATTGTAGTACTAGTAACTTATAAATTTCTCAACTTTACCACCTCTACTATTTTTATTAACATCTCTATTAACATTTTCTCAAAATTATTCATCAGGTAAGTATGTACTTTATCATTTCAAAGCTTTCTTGTCAATAACTGTACCTATATGATAAACAAATTCATCTAAAAACATCCTTCTAATTTGTGTTTTAATTCTAAAATTGCAATTTCTACTTCTGTAATTACTTATTATTCAAATGCATATAAACTATTTCATTCAATTTATTGTTATCCTTACAATAAAATTATAAGCATATTTCCACTGCAATACAGAAAAGCCGTAAAGCTCTGTCTTGTACAGCATCAATACAAGAATATGACTTTTCTCCACAAATTACTGCGCCATATGCACTATGTGATCACATCACGTTATCATATAGTTTTGAAAATGCATTGTGTGGCATGCCATCCATTAAAAAAATCTAGCAATTAGTAACGAATGCATATGTACTTACATATGACAACAATATTCAAATCAGTTAAACATACGCGATTTGAATTTGTACTTTATGCCTTTCAAAATAAGTTGAAATTGTTGGCAATTATTTTTGACCATCCCTCATATAAAATGACCGCATGGATAAATTGTTTAAACGTTAAAACCCGTATATCTATCTCCTGATCAGCAAAACGTGTATATGTACTATAACTTAAGATACATGCAATACGACAAAACAGTTGATGATTAAATTACTAAATGATATAGAGTACCATCATAAAGTTAATATTCCCTTTACCATTATGTTTGGACATTGGTGCGAACAACACTGACTGCCCCTTGACACTATCTGTCTTGTTCATCTTTCGTGATCAACACATTGGATTGAAACAGTATATCACTGTCACGTATTTTATTAAGAATAAACGTAATGTACTATTCAAGCAATCTTATAATTCTAAATATCACTGTATGTGATTTGAGTTAAAGTAGTGATTCATGTGAAATAACTTAGAAAACACACAATTAAAACACCCAGAAAAACTCATTTATTAGAAATGTTTTATAAAGTGCCATTTACATTTGCACAATTGGTTAAATTAGTGATGATTGTTTAACGACGTCAACAGCGCAACCCTTATCACGGAAATTTACTTACCTTAAATGAAACTATACGGACAGCTGCGTTTTGCCTTATAGGTATAGGCTTGTTAGATTCTGGCCTGAAGATATAGGCTCCTGATGCTTGCGAATCACTGTTATAGTTGTATCCTGTATGTCCCACGTAATACAAAAGGTTTTGTTTAAGTTTGATAGCCACGTCCTCATGTTTATTCCAGATACGTGAGATCAGGCCCGTTTTGCGATCAACAGTGACTGTATAATACTGAAATAAATTAAAATGTCACATTAGTAATACAGTATGTGTACTAATGTTAGGTCGCATAACACTTCCAAATGAACATTGTCCAAGTTCGGTTTGGACTGAGCCTGTTTATGGACGCAAGCAGTATATAAAAGATACCGCGAAAGGCCCAAAGTTCCGACTGAAACAGTGGGAACATTTAAGCCACAAAATGGTGTTCAACTAAGACTTTAGAAACATTAGCAGATGAAGCAGGTGTCAGTATAAAATTCGACTCATATATATGTCGCCTAATACCTGATTTTCAATCATTTCTACGGCATTTTTATAGGGCTCCGAACCAGATGATTGCTCTACCAGATCTATAACCTTTTCCTCCAGCCAGTCCTGCATTTCTAAACATAGAATTAAATAAGTTAATACTTGTAAAACAACATTTCGGTCACAAAAAGGAAAGAAAAAAAAGGGAAAAATACTTATGTAAGACCTGAACAGAGGAAATAAGATAATGACCATTCATTCTTATGTTTCAATTAGACAGAAAGAATGAGAAGAGAAATAAGCAAAAAACTTATTTAATATGAATATACATATGAAAAAAAAAATTAAAAAATAACTTCCCGATTCCTTACCATCTTCTTTAATGTCTTGTTTCTCTATTGCTTCTTTCTTCTGAATGAAAAACGTGCTTATTGCAAGTGGAGATAAATTTGCTTTAAATAACAAATCATTTTTTGCCGTAGACGCTGGCCTTTCAGGTATATTTTTAGTTGTATTTGAGACAGGAAGTATCTGAAAAAAATATATTTTAGGCACTTTTATAAAGTTGTAATATTATTCAAAGCTGGTGAACATAGATGATCAAGTAATATATTGAGAAAATGAATGTTTAGAAACATAAAAAAGGATTTATATTGTAATTTGTAAAAATAGTATTATTCTACAGAGAGCAAATAATTTATTAAAATGAATGCACATTTAGTATAGTTAAATGTATTGAGATAAAAATTGGCAATTCTAGAAATATGCTTCATTCAGTCGAACTCCTTTTCTTTTTAACATAGGTTTTGCATTCACATTTTCAGGAAGTCAATATCTAAAACAATAAATCAGTTTTATACCTATATAAACGATATATGTCTAAATTTACCTGATGTTCAATTTCCGCTCCGTCATGATTGGTCACTTCGTACTTAGAATCCGACACGGGTAATCGGACAAAAAAAATACGTTTTCTTGCAAGTGGGTTGTAAATAACAACTGAAAACTACAAATACAACAGCAGCTTTACAACAATAACTGAAAATTGCTCAAGGAATTTGTTTTTTTTGGTAAACGTCAGTTAATTATTAATAGACAGGTGCAATTTAGAAATGAGCGGACCTTTTTTGCCGAAACTTTTGTTATAAGCTTTATTATCACTGATTAATTATTTTGGAACGTCCCTCTTTTTGATAATGCCTATTTATTTATGACCTTTGTGTTTGAATAATTCATTAAAGCGGCAAAGATAAGATATGAGTATCAAAATATATTTCCATCTTAACATTATATCTGTCTTTCGTTTCACTACCACACGCGCCGGAGACAATAAAGGGAAAATCTTATGTTTGCCGGATTACTATATAACATGTAACAGGGTATCTCACTTACAGAAAGATTGGCGTGGAGTCGTGTGATGATAGATATTCTACGTATAATGTTTCATTCATGATACGATGCGCTTTAAATTATATTGTAAGAATGAGACATAAATTAGTGATTACTTTATTAGTGACATTTCAGCGAGCAAAAGCTGTCTTACTGAAAAACTACTGATATATTTATTACACCAAGGCAGACATGACCTTTCTAAAATATAGGGTGAACTTAAAATTAATAAATGACAATGCAGAAATAAGAAGAAAGAAAAACATTAAGATACAGATTGAAATTTTTGAAATGCGATTTCTTTAACATCTCTTTTTTACTCTTTAGATTAGAAAATAATGCTTCGGGATACTTAATGACAATAATTCTAATAGTTGTTATCAGATTTCAGATATTTAATTATAATAATTCAAATAAATTTTTCGATTCAAATGACATGACTTATTTAAAAAAAAAATTAAAACTTACACCGCTGTGATGAAATTATACTTCAATTATTTTGTATTGCGCATCGTTTTAATTTACGTGTTTTTTTTCCTGCGCTTCTTTGAAAAAACGGTCTAAAGTTGTTGGATCTTATAATTGTGTCGTTAATAATTTGCATGATTGTAAATTGGTTCGGATCATATTTATCTCATTCATCTTCCGTATATTTCGTCAGCTACTTGTATTGATTATAATATAATTAATAGTTCTTACTAATATAATAGAACTAAAAGCTTAAAATGAAAGAAGTTTATTGCCAAATTTTACAGAAAATACCTAAATTTTCAGTTGAATTTATCGAGCTTTTATAAATGATTCAAATTTTTCGGCATTCAACAATTTTTTTTATAACCATACAAAGAACTCAGTAAGTAAAAGAAAATTATATAACTAACCTTAGTTTGGTATTCAGTCAGTGCGCATGCTTGTAGTGATAAATGATCACAGAAATGTAGTTGTAAAGACGGAGTCGTTTCATCTTTAGTTAAAAGTTTGCTTACTGCAGAGTAAATCACGTCCTGAAATTATACACATTATTGAGGCAAACAATTTTGCTAATTCGCAACTGTAAAAATTGATGATAAGAGGGTGAAGAAAACGGTGCCGGAATGAATATAAATAATTACTAAATGTTTGTGTTTGTCTTTTAAATATAGACATTCATTTGAATAGCGCAAGAGAAACTGACAGTTCAGCAGACTGTTAGATACATACCTTACAATAGTGTATACCATTTTGAAGCAGTCTAACATAATCGTCTGCTACATATTGCTTCTCAGTTCCACTGAAAAATAGTCCCAGTTATTTACATATATGTTAATACGCACTTAAATAAGCTATATGTCTGCTTGCTGTTGTTTGTATGAAGGAAATATGTTAGTATAGGGAGCGAATAATAAAATATTCAAGAACAAAAAATTATTAATCCTAATGATCATTTTACATCTATTAGAACATTATCGACATTTCTTCTTCAAGCAATATTTCATAAATATTTCCAAAATGATAAATTTTATTTCCCTAACCAATATTTGAAACAATTATGGAAATGTGCCCATTGCGGACCCATTCTCTTTAAAACACAACTCAAATACAGCATAATATTATTTTGTTCCGAAACATTTTATTCCGTTTTCTTACAATATCAACATGTATAAAATAAAAGAGACATTTTTTATTACAGGCAATGTTTACTTACGATACACCATCATGATGCTGAACAACAGCCATTGCTTCCCCTGTAACGGAAGAACTAAGCTGAAACATCATGTAATGATTCTAACTTGATAATATTGCTCTCAGATAATTCGTTGTCAGAAAACCCGATTGATGGGTAAAGCAGTAAATTAAATATAACAGCACTTGTTATCAAAACTATTTACATACACATGTACATGTTTACATTTTAGTGATATTAATGTATGTGCAATAGTAGTTACGGCGTGTTCAAGTACATGTACATGGTTAAATTTGCTTACTGAGGTAATTGATATCTTGTTCTGTGTCTGTTAATCCTGCCAGAGCATTTAATTGTTTACATGTCTGTAATTACAAATTTAGATATCTTATGTACAAATTTACTATTCTAATACAATGATAGTTTACTTTCTATTGTCGATGCAAATACATGTACAATGTATTTTAGGGTAACAGAAAAAAGCTGATAATGCCAATAAAATAATGCTTGGTTTTATTTGATTATATATTTTAAAGCTTTCATTAATAAAATACATGTATGATATCTATATTCATGCATTTAAGCAAAACAGTCAAATCTGTCACATTAATTACACACGTTGTAATTAAGAATTTTTAGTAAAAAGTAATGGATAAACAAGATCACCTGTAGTAAAGCACCGCTCGTTCTCACAAATCGTTTCAGAGTTGGTCTACTTGTAAAGTAACCAGTCCAAAATGAGTTTTCTCTGTGAGCATAGGGAAAGAAGTCGTCTTGTTTAACAGGCCATGTTCTATTTGAGCGGTGTAGTTGATACAGATAACACGATGGTGTTGAATATAGAAGGTTGATTTTGAATTCTTCATTCTCCTTTTGCTTGAAATCAAATAGATTAATCATCTCATACACATTGATATGAAAAACGTGTTTAACATTTAACCAAATGAATTTTTGGTGCATTTTATAAAAGGAAATCAAATATATATCAAAACGACCAACACTTTGTTGCTTTGATTAGTGACGATGGCGGTACAGCAAACAATTCCAAATGTTTACGGCTACATTATACATTTGAACGGAAAACTGAAAAATGTTATCAATATTAAACAACATATATTATAAAACGAATATTTTTTCTTTACATAACATAATTCTTTTAGTTAAAAAAATTGTAAACTTAGAAATTATTAATATAGCTTCTCATTAGAGTCATAAGTTTCTGTAAGGAGTTGATGTATTTATTTTGTGTGATAACTTACTCTCTGGTTTACCAGCTTTATAAGCTCGTCAAGATTCTCGTACCATTTATCTGCCCATCTGTACTGAAAGTCACTTCCCATTTCAACCATCACGTGATTTGTAGCGTAATTGTCAGACTTAAAGACAACGATGTGATAAATTTCCATTTGATTGTCCCATTTTTGTAACAAATTTACGATAGATGAATATTTCACACGATATTTTTCATCAACAAGATAAGCATTTTGTTAATACGATGAGTATGATTTTGTTGAAAATCAATTGGTCAAATTCTAGTATGGCATTCATATCGTTGAACTTAATCTAATCAGAACCCAGCCTAATGAAATGAATTAGCTTAATAAAAACCCGCTTATTATGAACATATGAGAAAACTTTAGGCTGTAACAAATAATAAAGGCATTTAATGCAAAGCTCTGCAATGTTACCTCATCTTTTATAATTCGGAGGAACTCATCCACCTTTGCTCTATTGAAATCTTCTGAACTAAAATATTTGTGTAAAATTCTATACAGGCTTAGTATTAACAAACCATGCATTTAGAATTTTATAAAACATAAACTCAAGTCGAAAATTCACATAACACGGTAATTCTGTTTGATCGTTAAATATACGTTATTAGATTAGGTATATTCTACTAACGTAAATACATGAAAGGAAAAATTAATAAGCGTAGTTTACAACTAATATAGGAAAAAAATTACATCGAAATCGAAAGAAATATTCCAAAAGCTTTAGTTTCTGAACACAGTTCCTAATCATCATTTATAGATATTAGTTGCTAAATATTGTGGCAGTAAATAAGGTATAATAAGAATTCACTTATATATACCTATTAACAAGTTCCGGATCCGAGCACCAATAGTCCCAGCAGAAACCTTTTGGTGGCCAATAAACATTGTCCAATACTCCAACGAAAATATCAGATGCTGCTCTACCTGTGAGTATGAAAAGAAAGGACAAGGCGTGAGTTCATAAATGTGCCATGAACGTTGATTTAGTCAAAAAAGATACAATTATGATTGTGTAAATTAAGAATATTTGTGTGCCTCAGCACGAATATCAACATTGTAAGCATAAACAAAATAAACATGATCAGTTTCGTACTTTTTCTCATCATGGACCATTTCAAACTATCAATAGTTCAAACAATATGAAACCAATTATGCTAAAACTTAAATTGTATAATTAAAGGCAGACTCAGTACCATTTAAAACCTGCCAAGAACAATTAATATCGTCTGTTCAAAAGATAAGAGAAAAGATTTTACTCAGAGACTCGCTGGACCTCCAAATCATTTCCATTGTCTTCGTTCTTTCTCTCTGACGTTTGTCTTGATAATCAATCCTACCAACAAACATTCCATCGAAACCAAACTGAAGCAAAACATTCTTTTGTGCACAATGTACGTTTTCTCTTTACAAAAATCTTACTTTCAATGCAAGATAAAAGTGTTACTACCTTAAACGTAATTAGGAATTTGCTGATAATTGATATTTGATTTTTTGTTAGATTTAAATTGCGATATCATATTTACACCAAAACGAAACAGACACTTAGCAAATACTTATCGCTGTACTTTAGATATTTCTAAATATTCAACTCTGTAAAATATTGGGTAAAATGCCAAGGAAATGTGAGTGAACCTGAGCGAAAAGGGAGGCAACTTCTCTAGAATGTCCAAACGGATCTATTTGCCAACCAATTTTTGGCCGGCCACATTCCCCGAAGTTATTCCTGATGAATTGAAAGCCGAGAGTATGTTGATCAATGATGTCTATATAGTATGGTGTAGCCTCGTCATTCATACACCATCCTCCTAGAATAATCTCCAGGCGACCTGAAATACACATTGAATTGTACGTGACAAAATAATCATCCTCCTAGAATAATCTCCAGGCGACCTGAAAAACATATTGAATTGTACGTGACAAAATAACCATCCTCTTAGAATAATCTCCAGGCGACCTGAAAAACATATTGAATTGTACGTGACAAAATAACCATCCTCTTAGAATAATCTCCAGGCGACCTGAAATACACATTGAATTGTACGTGACAAAATAACCATCCTCCTAGAATAAATACACAAGGCGACCTGAAATATACATTTAATTGTACGTGACAAAATAACCATCCTGCGAGAATAATCACCAGGCGACCTGAAATATACATTTGATATTACGTGACAAAATAACCATCCTCCTAGAATAATTTCCAGGCGACCTGAAATATACATTTAATTGTACGTGACAAAATAACCATCCTCCTAGAATAATTTCCAGGCGGCCTGAAATACACATTCAATTGTACGTGACAAAAAAACATACTCCTAGAATAATTTCCAGGCGGCCTGAAATACACATTCAATTGTACGTGACAAAATAACCATCCTCCTAGAATAATCGCCAGACGACCTGAAATATCTTTAATCGTACGTGACAAAATAACCATCCTCCTAGAATAATCGCCAGGCGGCCTGAAATATACATTGAATGCATAACAATATCACCATACCTAAAAATAATCTCCAGGTGACCTGAAGCACAAATTCAGTTGTAAGTGGCAACAATAAGATATAAAAGCTACAAAAAAGTATTGTTTTAAACAGAAAAGCCGTCATAGGACCTTACAGAGTCTCTATTTAATTTTACATCTTACCAAAATACAAAAGCAACTGGACATATCTTTCTTTTCAATATGTCGAATTGTTGGACAAACATTCATATTTTATTTTAACTGATTAACATAAAGAAATGATAGCAAAGCACACAGTGATCAAGGAGACTGTCTGTTTTAATAATTGCACGCGGTTGTCAATTTGCAATTTTAAAGCATCATAAAGGACAGAGCTGAAAATTATACTGTTTTTGTTGTTGTTGTGTTTTTTTAATATCATTCAGAATCTTTTAACATGATCAGAAATAACTATAACTTTTTTTTGCTTTCTTTTTTAAATTAATATTTTGAAAATTTTAATACTTTAAATGTGTATTTTGAATGTCAAATCGATACAGGATCTTCATGGAGCGTAAAATGCGTTCATGGCAGGTTATTACCATTTTGTAACAGTTCAATTATTGTCACTAATTGGTGTTAATTACAACGTTAGCGTTTACAAAACATAATTTAGATTCTTAAATCTTTTCTCGTAATCTTCTTTTACGTAATTTTATGCTTTGAATTTTGACGTTTCCAGTATTAATCAGAAGAGACAGACTGATACAATCATAATGTAACAACTAGTGGAAAGGCTGGTGTAACAAATGCTAGATTTATGGTAATTCTTAGGATCTGTATCACAACTCTATTTGTTTCGACCGCCAAACCGTCTCTCATCAAAGTAAATCGTTCGTTACACAATTATAGGTGATTATGTCATAAAATGTCGCGTACAATAGTTTTATGTTTATATCGATCAACGATTAATGCAAAGGTTATTATAGGTGGGGTTTATATGTTTGTTGTTAATATTTCCACAGTCCCCTATCATAACAACATTTAAAGATAATCAAAATATATCAGTTCATTTCACATAAAGACAATAATAACAAATCTCTCCAAAAAGCGTGCAGTTATTTTGGGGGAGGAGTTCCACAAAAAAAGCGTGTAAAATAGTAGAATTTGAATCTTTAAAATGTGTCACTATCTTAACATTCATCGAAATGATTTTAGGCCTATATTTTATGCATATACATTGTATTATTGCTTTAAACAATTGTGACGATGGCCTCTGATGCAAAGATTTTCAACGACATTGATATGGTCTGAGCTATGTTTGAATTATAAATCTTATATACAGTCGAAGGATTTATTTCATGAGATCATTGAATGTGTTCCTGATGTCAGACTAGATAAGATTATTGTAATTTATACGCATTAGCTTACTGTAGATTATTATATCCTTATTGAGATCATGTTTGCAATGTTATGTTGTATCAATATACAATCATAATAGACTTTTTCTTATTAAACTATTCAATGAGATACTTTTTCAGAGGGATTTTCTTTTGTTTTAAGCATAAAACATTTCAATTGTCTAAACTTCTTAAATGAAACATAAAATGTAATTTGCTTTTAAAGAATCTGCTCTTGTACTGGCTACATTTAAATGATATATGCATGTTTCAGGACAAGCATTAAATTACGTACCTTCATTGACCAGATTTCTTACTACATCCTTTATTGTATCATTTTGTTCCTGCCACCAGAGTTTCAGGAACGCCATCTCAACGTATATAAAACGTTTGTTTCCACCTGCTTTACGGTCACGCTCTAGATTGTCTACAACAGATGATATTATCGTCCGCACATCTGCAACATTGGAACGACTATTTAGTTGTATCAGTTAGTTCATTCATTAGACAAATTCAAGTACGGTACTGCACGGTACATGTACTTAGGAAGACACGACTCATATAGACGTATATATCCATTAAAATCAGATACTTGTTAACAGATGACATACATTAAACCCAACAATGTCACCATATACAAACTCATCTACTTTCAACAATAATTTTACTAAAGAATGTTATGCTATTTCATATTTGCCTCTGTATAATGGACATGGACATTACCTACCTTGTCTGTAGTACTCGTCATAAGTCTTGACCCAACCAACATCGTCATGTGTATGTGGAACAATATGTACGTTTAGCATATCGTCCTTTACTGGATTACAACTCTGTCAACATATACATACATTTGGTAAATGTTAACATGAGACTCATGGTTAAGAATGATTTTATTACTTTCAGTTTACTTTACATTCTTTAATGAAGGATAATTAAAATTGGCATGTCACACTGCTTGTATATAAATACATCTTTTAATGCATATTAAGCAAATTTCCGTTCCCTTCAAACAAATGGGATGGGTTATTTAACGTAACGAAAAATAATAATAGTTTTAACAGAATAAATAGAAGTTATTCAACAAAATTGCAGACATTGGTTATCGTCATAACGCATATACGAGTAGAGATACATACACGAATCATCTCACGGAAGAACTTACGAGACATTGTCTTAGTGAAAAATTAAGGCAAGTAAATAAAAATGTAGAACAAAAAAAATAGTGTAATGCTTTTATTGATTTCAATTGGCATTTAAAAAACATTTGAAGGATATGGTAAAAATGAGAGATTAATCAGCCTAATAATTGCAAACAACGTATTGAGAAAAAAATGAACGAAAAGAAAGAAAAAACTCTGAATGTATTTTAATGAACGTTCAATGTATATATGAAAGAGTTTTACTATCTTTAAACATATTGAAATACATACCTCATAACCACATGTTTTTGTCGACTCTTGTATTTGTAAGGAGGTAACACCGTAGAAATTAATACTTAATGTCACACTTATTAATATTTCACTCAAAAGCATGTTTTCTTTTAAAGTTTTTTTCTTCATTTGATTACCAATTATATAGTTCTTTATAAACTATGAGTATCCAAATAGATGTTATATTTGTAACATTTAGCTAATATTGGTTAACAAAAAACGGATCATGTTATGCAGTAAGCCGTATTTAGGAAGTTACAATTCTTGTTTCTTGTCCTTCAAAAAACTTTTTTCTATTTTTCAAAAAATTACTGTCTACTGATATGACGACCACAAATAGTTCATACAACATATGCTAAAGGTTATAAAGGTCTAACATTAGCCAACCTTAAAGCCACTATAGCGTGTGATCTTATTATATGCGGTTAATGGCAATAACAAGAAAATTATATTGGCCTAAATAGACAAAATTTGCCAGCTATAAGAGGATGTGGAAGTGACGAATAATTAGGATAATCCTAATGTAACACGTGTGGCATATATCCCTATAAGCTGAACGTTACTGCGCTCCTTGAACTATAAAATCAGAAATTAACTCTTGTTGCTTGTTTCAATTGAGTCAGAATGATCCGCATTTATTGATGTAGTATATTTATACGCTCATAACCAGTATGTAATATGTATCAAATTTATAAAAGAACAGTGACGTTGAAATTGTTTGAATGATATCAACAGTCAGCCTTTTCAAGAATAGAATTTACTTGAACAGCAAACATTCAAGACAATATCGTTATTTTTTCACGCATGAATTAGAATACGTTTGTTAAGGACCATCAAAATTCCAACAATCAGATGTTGTCCTTTCAAAAGCTGGTGACAAATTTACCTGACATACTTTTAGACTTCCAGAAACCTTTGGCAAATTATGCCTGAGAAAGAAGTAAATATTTCCTTCTTAAGAAGGGGTAAACATGAATTTTATAACGTTAATATAATGATTTAAGAATACATTGAATTCTTATCACTGAAGAAAGTAGCGGCGAATTACGTGAAGTTTTAACTTTATTTATTCATTTGAGTGTATTCATTGTAATTCTTTCAACTGAAATCATCTGCTTATGCTGAAGGAACTCTAATGAGGCCTACAAACATAAAATTTGAATTTCTAACATAGATCAACCGAGACACTTCAAACGGAAAAAAATGCATAAGATCATAAGACATATTTTGGGTGATTTTGCTCAGTTAGAATAATTATAAGCAAAACACGGAGTGAGTGAATGATCCGCCATTAAAGCAAATCAGGAAAACGAAAATGGTTTGTTCCTGAAATGTTAATCAACTAAATAAAAACAACGAAGCGATTCTGAAACTAAACTTTTATTTTTCCAAATAATAACCAATAACAATATTATGTAAACTAATAAGTTTCTTTTTTTAAATTTTCATCAAAATATACAAATGGAATTTGAAAGTTCATATCAAAGGAAACTAGATGTATTTTGAAAGTGTTATGATAAGTCAAAGTTATCTTTTTTTAAGGGGAGAGTTTCTAAAAAACAATTCTAGTTTTCTAATCAATCCTTTTTTGCATTTAATTGAAATTATATTGTGTATATATGTTTGATGTTTAAATTAATGTTATCTTTTTTTATGGTACATTGTTTTAATGTTGCTGTGGATACGTTTTAAAGTGTTATTTATTTACCAAAACATTTCTGTACATATTTATTGAAAATTTCCGATTTCATATCAAATTCTTTTTTCGGTTGTAATTTAAGAGTCCTAATTAATGACTTAATAAATGTTACAAACAGTGTTGATATTGATGCGTTTGAATCGGTCTAACATGTTTTTCTTCTCGAAATTGATAATATTCGATTTTAATATACCGGTGACATTGGTAGTTTCTCGCGCCAAAATAATGAAATTTAGTGTAAACCTAGGTGAATGTGGCATTTGTTGCGTTATAAATACAGGGATGTGTATTAAGTGTCGATAATAAACATGATACCTGATTATAAATTACTAGGTGAAATAAAATGTTGAGCAAAAAAATGAAATATTAAAAAAATCGAAAGACTAGTGAGAACGATGCGTTATATAAGTTTTAAAGTTTTATTCCAGGTCATAGATATATATTACCCGGTCGTCAATGAAATCCAGATGAAGAAAGAAAAATGCATGCTACTGTGCTAGCATGAATAAGTATCTGTGTGTTCATAAAATGAGTTGATCTATATGTTTAAATGTATTTTAATAAAAATTTAAAATAATACTAAATTTTCTCAATCAAATTTTTTGATAAAATAAATCATTTGAAAAAAACATCACTATAAAATAAGTAATATGAACATTCTAGTGTATATATGATCAAATATGCAAATGATTACTAGTATCTAATTAACAAGAAAATGGACGGATTCATGAATAATATAAATGTGCCTTCATTCAATTATGGTGGTATTATTAAATAGACACAATGTGAAACAAGGGTACAACATAATAAATACTCGTACGAATATTATATAAAGGTTATTTCTTAAATCAGTTTTCCATTTGAATCGAAGTCTATCAAAACGATTTTCATAATTCAATTTTAGTTATCAAATATCAAATATAGCCCGTGTTATTTAGTGATCTTAAAACAGGTTTTTCCTTCTTTATAGCATTGTCCAAATAATCTATAGACTGTTCATTTTCATCTTCACTATTTCAAGCTACTTGACTCCTATTATTCCTTTAAATTTCCTCCAAACAAAGTCCAACATTTCGTATTCGTTCTGTGCATTCTGTGTTTGCTCCTTTACGGTAGTGAAAGCGTCGGCAATGATGGTCAAGAAGATGCTCATTAAGCCCACGTAGATCACCATGATAAACAAGAAGAAGAATATCGGACCGAGGAACTTGTGAGCATCACTCATTGCTTCAAAGTCGAATGCGCCAAGAGTAAACGCGAAGGTTGACTCGGCCGATGAAACGAATCCGTTGTAGCCAATCATATACTTGCCAAACAGGAGGTAAGCAGTGAATGCGAATGCAAAGAAGTACAGCAAAAATGCAATAGAGAAGACCTTTAGATCTTTAGTGGCAAGTTTGACCGTGTCGCCAAGCATGTTCATCTTTTTGTTGAACTGGAGAAGTTTAAGGAACTGAATAGACGCAAGGAATACAACGATAGCTGTCATATACCCGTAAAACTCATCATACATTGCGAGAGACTGGAAGTTGATGAACTCCGCTGTAAAATACATGAAATGTGTCTGTAAATTTGTATCTTATTGATGAACATATTTTGGCATCATGTATATATATGTAATTTATTACCGTTCTTATATCAGTATTTCATGTATTTTATAACAAATACTTTAATGATATGATAAACCTTTTTTCTTTATTACTTGCACAGCTCAAATTAATTTTATGTTTGGTGAAATTAACTGATTACATTACATGATGACAAAATTGAAATATATATTTCCACATTAACAAAAACATGAAAAGTTATTAAGAATTCCAATGGATATCTTACGTTGTGCCTGTTTCTTTAAGTAATGGAACGCCACTTCTGTAAGCATATGTTTGAATATGTACATCGCAATACAGGCAACAGCAAAACACAACATACAGAATTCGAGAATATCCCAGAATGTCTTGAAGTATTTACATCTATCTTTCTTGACTTTCTTAACGCAGCGAACAAAGAAGAATATGGTGAAGCAGCAATAGATGACCTCAAAGAAGATTACAACTATAGCAAATCCTCCAACATAACTCTGAAGCCGGAAAATCTGTAAATATATGAAACACTCTTGTCATAAGGGAAACTTCACCCTTTCACTTAAAAATGAAACAACAGACAATGCTTATCAATATGCTTAACACATAGATGTGATATTATACTAAATGTAATATACAGTCGGTTATAAAAGCTTTTACAGCTTCTGTTGTACTGTTGTATACTTGTCGACTTGAAATAAAACTTATTTTATCTTATCGTATGTTGTCTAGAAAAATGATTGTTATGATTGCATCTTTGACAGGTGTTCGAATATTGTTTGTGTGAAAAGGAAGCAAACGATGTAGGTACAATAGCAGAAGAAAACATTATATCCAAAAAAAGAAGTATATTGGCCTCAGGCATTGAACGTTTGCTAAAATTAGAATAATATTCTAAACATTGTACCTTGAATTCACTGCGAGCCATTGCAGCTCCAAATGAAGGGAACTCAGTTGTCATCACGGCCGAAGCAAATAAATTAGAGTTTGGATTATACACAGTAAACTCGAGTATGACAGCTCTGGTTCTAAGGTCTAGCCAATCCTCTTGTCTAAGTCTAGTAAGATTGCGAACTGTTCTCCGGTAACTCCGTTCAAAGTTTATCACATATCCACCACCTTTATACGTCTGTAGAGTGGCGACATATGGCGCGCTTTTTAACCTGTAATTAAAATAGGATAGAAATGTCCAGTAAATATTCATAAGATACAGTCTACATAAACATGCATTGCGTAAAAAATATATATACGCTGTAATATATTTGAAAAAAAAACAACAACATAATTACACAAGGACTTGTTACGAAATGATATTTTTTCAAACATTTTCAAACTTATCCATACAATTAACTTGAAATCTTTGTCAAAATACAAAGAACATAAATGCGTTGTTTCCCTAAAACGAAACTATACATTCGGTTTTAGCATGGTGATAATCGTTCTGATTTTATGATGTACCTTAATGAGTTTTGGTAAACAAATGGGTCGTCTCGTCTTTCGTCTAGTATGGTCCTGTTTTCCTCGCTTGTTGGTTTCCAGGCTGGTAGATACGCAGTCGTGTCATCGTCGTACCAGTTATAATCGTTGCGACAATGATTGATCGTACCACGCATCGTTCCGTGAATCTTGCATGAATCTGTAATGAAAACAATTGTATATACTAGGTTAAAGCAGCATACAACCAGATTCGTGTCATTTTTAGTGTTGTTTTTATTTTAATGTATGAAAGTAGAATATTGCCAAGTGAACAAAGAAAGTAATTTACTCATAGCTTAAAAACATTTAAAATCTACGTAAATTGCAAAAAGCAGACCAGACTGTACAAAAATAAAAATAAGAAATATGGTGATAAATACTGCAAAACAGCCCTTCAAGGAACTCCACCGAGGTTCAAAAGCCTAAAATCATAATTTTTTACACAGATCAGCTGGGGCACGTAAAACAGGACGACACGCAAATAATAATTAAGAAATATACTCAGAAATGAACTGAAAAGGGTATTTTTGTGCTGTTTTTGATACGATTTGAGTGATTTTGGGTCATTTTTCAAAATTCGAATTATTATCCTGGTTAAACTGCAAGAGAGAATGATCTAAAATTTTGCACACAAGTTACTGATCTATATCTACATCAAACATTAATCTCGAAAAAATATTTTCAATCTCGTCATTTCAAAAAACCTCAGTGGAGTCCCTTTAATTGCATATAACATGTATATTATTTCTTAAATCGTTGATATTTTGACTTTTCTTAAAATCTTAGTACATTTTCTCAAGATCTATTTTATCTAAAACAGCATAAATTAATCATAAATATACTAACACGCAATTCTGGAAATAAATAGGCAGTTTTTAAATGTCAGTCACAGTATACTAAAAAGTAAATTTGGGTGTTCGACTTTATGCAATAATCACACATTTTTAATACTTAACAAGATGGGTATGCAGAGCGGTTAAAAAGGGTTAAAGCTGTATCTTTAAAAAAAGGTAAAAGTCAAAAACACAAGACAACTGTGCTTCAATAGAGGTGCCATTTTTTTCAAAGATTCAAACAAAAATTTGTAAACTGCAGTCAGCAGAGATATAGCTTTAATATACACTTTAAATTCGTTGTCTTTTTAAGGTAGTATTTCACTGTGAACGTACTTTGAACGCTTTTACTGATTTTAAATGGTTTACAAAGAACAGAAAATTACGCGTCTCCTTTAAACATGCTTGCGGTTTTTATCGTATTAGTTCCCTGAGAGTTCCATTAGCAATTTTGGCGGTGTTTATGATGTCCTGGTACTCTTTGAAAAAAATCATAATTAGTTAATTGTTTGCATGACGCGACTTTTTTCTGTTAAACAAACACTTTACGGACTTTGAAAGACAGAAGCGGAGAAATGGCAAAAGTGAGATTACGAATAGAGCATATCAAGAATAAACACGTTGAACAATATTAATTGCATGAAATAACTCTAATTGACCGTTTATGCCAATCAGTTACAGTGTTATGCTGAAAATATGTAACAGTTACAATATGGCGTCTTCAAAAGCATTTGATTGTTTTTTAAAGATGAAGTCAATTACGCGATTGCTCCGCGCAACTGCACTTTTGTACGAGTAAGAGAATAATCAATACAAAGGATTTCAAGTAATGGTTCCGTTTCTAGTGCGCCATACCGAAAGTGCACGTGCTGCAACTTATATACTGTATTTTTTACGAAACCCATGTTGTTTAATTGGTGGGCATTCGTGCCATTTCTGATCAGAAGGAGATGGTTATGTACGAGTGTAACTGTGAGTGTAAGCTGTGAAGTCATTATTATTTGTCATGTTTTCGTCGCACAAACACAGTATAGGTCATACGGTAACTTTCCAGCTTTACTGGTGGAGGAAAACCTCAGGTGCCTCTCTGTACGGCACTTCAGGCACAAACGGGCACCTGTGAAGTCATATGGACTTCCTGTGTACTGAATAAAATTATTACCTTCAATGAACATTCTAATTTGAAGTAAAAGCCACGTTACTACATAGTAAGCAATCATATTTATTATATATTGACAACAACAAGAAGTATCTAAATTAATAATCAACATGATGACAAAGCACGTTCTGTTACCTTCTTTAATTCTGAACTGTCTCATTCGGGCTATTCCCATCCTTCTAGATTCAAAGTCGTTGAGGCATCTTCTGTCCCACCATTTATATAAATTTGTGCCATTGTGGTACTTTGCTGCATATAGTGTCGGAAGAAAGTACGTTTCCAACCAAACCCAATAGTCTAGAACTGTTGAGACCTTTGAGAACAATGCAAAATGTAAACATTAATTTGCATATCTAACGTACAATATATGAATAAAATATCAACAAAGAGTGGAGACATATAAAATATAGATTTATGCAATTTTCAAAATAAATCATGTATATTCATCACTTTATTGTTGTTTTTGTTGTGTTGTTGTTGTTGTTTGTGCTTATTTTTAATGTGCATAAAACAATAGTCATCTTATATTTATTTTGTTTAGTAATTAAAGTAATTTGATAAAATGTATAAATAAACATTTAAAACAAAGGCAATACCCCTTCAAATTTTCCGAGGAACATGTTTTTCATATTTTCGGTATAGTAGAAAGACTGGAGATCCCTCTGTTGGTAGGACAGAAAGAATAAAATAAGAACAAAGAATCCATATATTAAGATTTCCTTCAATATTTCTTCCATTTTCATTTCTTTCAGGCGAGCCAGTCTCTGTTCCTCAAGCTTCTTTGTGTCGGGAGGTTCCAAAGTCTCGTTTGCTTCTCTTCGTCGCTTAGCAATCTCTGTAGAATCAATAAGTAAACATTTTATTTTTTAATTTGAAGGTAGTTTTCCCCCGTTGTGAAATGATTTTTTTCTTCATTTAAATAATTATCGTGCAAAAACATGCAAAATCACTTTGATAGTATTTTGTATTCATTAAACATTAAAGCTTCTATTTTTTAATTAATATGGAGAAAAGAGTTTAGTCTACTTTGATTATTTTAATCAATCGTGGAAACGTATGAAATACAAAAATGGTAAATAAATATATTCATGTATGTAAAATGACAATATTATGTAAATGACAACTTTTTGTGCTATCTGTATAAGTGATTCAGTTCATGACACTCATCTTAATGATACTAGTAGATCAAAGCAAATATGAAACTATTCATTTCATCAACTTTTAGCAAACAATGCATTTGATTAAATAAGATTAAAGCATGTGTTTCTTTTAATTTGTATTTATATAAAAAAGGGGTTCTAATAAAAGAAATCAGAGATTATGTAAACAATATTAACCATCTATTGCGCTTGCCCCTTTAGCATAGACTTCCTCCTCATGTCTACTAATGGCGTTGTTCAACTCAGCTGTACAGTCTCCCTCCTCACCAAGGTCAGGCTTCTTTAACACACACGCAATAAATGCAACTAGACAAAGAACCTGCACAAATAAAGTCAAACGTTATTCTTAGAAATGTTGGATTTTGAATAATAAAAAAACGAGCATGTAAAGAATTAATTTATTAAACAAGCCTGATTTGTCTTTAAGAAACATTTATATGTTCGCGTGATTTCTAAAAACTTGTTCTGGATATCATTACTATTTGATTCTTTGGTTAACGAATTTTAGACTTGTCGCTAATGCAATGCAAGAGACATTCCTTTTCCAGATGTCGTGACCAATCCAATTATCATACAAATAACCTTCAAATTATGTAATCATTAGCCGTCTACTGAATTCCAATAAATGACATTAACAATGATCAATCGTTTTCCAGGCGAAATAAATCTCTTTTATACAGTATAGTCTGCATCACTTTTATTTCCTTTAATCGAGCGTATTTTTTTAAACATTAATATAATTTGCTTAGATTTCTTTCTGAAAAAATATTGTCTTTATGCGTTTTCTTTTATGTTTCTTCAACTTATTTTTCTTCAAATGAAATCAAAATTCAGGTGCAGATCCCTTCAATTTTACGAGTTTACATTCTTGATTCTCATTAATTTAAGTTGGTCGTCTTTTTAAAGAGTTTTATAATGATGTGCATTATAACACAACTATTACAGTGAGTACCTTAATTGGTTGAACGACAATCACTGATTGGAAGAAAGAGAGAACGAATGTGATCAACCACTCGTTTGCTTTTTCTTTTCCCCACTGCATACTGTACAAGATGGTGAAGAATGCCGGGGTTATTATGCTGAAGAAACACACTGAAAAAAGGACATATCGTTAACAGCGATAAAAATTCGTGACTTCTAAAGTTCATCAATCATTTATAAAAAAAATGGATAAAACTGATGATTATTAAGTTCAACCTGTAAAATCTTTAATAATTTGGTATCATTAAAACGAAGAAATACATGTAAACTTTAATAGCAAATGACAGAAAAAATAACAAATACTCATCAAAATTGTTGACACTTACACACCCAAGCAATATAGTTAAACCAGTGAGGAAACATGAATGGTTTCTTCTTTTTCTTTTGAGCATTTTTCTTCGCGTCCCGATCTCCTGCTATCGTCGGTGCCGGGATATTGTCGAATTCCTCTTCGTCATCGGCGTCATACTTGCTCTTACTGTTCCCATTACCACGGACAAGTTTCTGTAGGCTATCTGTAAATCTTTTAAACCTTGATGTTTTTGGCTCATCTTCAGCACTCCACATATTTGACCTTGAAACTGTTCCGAGATTTTTCCACTTTCCTCTCTTCGGTTTACGCTGGTGCTGCTGCATCACGGCATTTTTCTTCTGTTTAGTCCGCCGGAAAAATGTGATCAGTAGGAAACTTGGTGGGAACACTATGATGGTACTAGCCAAACTTATAAACACCTGCAAATGCAATAAAATAACCCAGACCTAAATCGATTTTGAAATTAAGTTTAAGACTCAAATTTGTAACATTTATAGTAAAATTTTAAGCCGCAGATAATTTTGTTTATTTGTCCGAACCTTACTTCAAACGATAATTAAAACCGTCTGCAAATTTCCTAGGATATAAACATTAAGTTAGATAAAAAAAACCTTTATATTATTAACACCAATCATCTAGAATAATTTCATATTGATGTGGTTTAAGTAGAATTTTATTGACTGTAGCTGTTCACCCACCTGTTGAAGGGTAAATGAGATTGGTCCTATTTTTAACGACACGGTTTGCTTTCCAGAGTTCTGGGCTTGCTCTGCTTCACCATCTGATTTAAACCACATAGCGTTTGTAATCATAGTAAGAAACAGCAACGACATACAGCACGATATTCTCTGTACTCGAGTGAAGGAGCTCCTTGTCGGTCTAGTAAACACAGACAACCAGAGATGGTCACTGGTCAGCTTCTTCCTAACGGATGATGAGAAAAGTTGTTTGAACGCTACAAGATCTTCTATACCAGCCACAGGAAGAATACGATCCACCATTCCATCATCTTCTTCACATGCTAGCCACCGGTTACACAGGAAATAATATCTAAAAATGTTTATAAAATAGATAGCCATTGATAATAAACTAACTACATGGGTACAATGTATTATTTTAAGCTTGAATAAATATTTCTCATTTTATAAGTTTGGTTAAGAGTCTCCAGTTGGAAAGCTAAAAGCAGTTATTAAAGAGCTGTCAGTCCTGAACACATGAACGCGCAATCACGTGCAATTGCAAGCACAAACACACTAAAGCACACGCAGACTTATGTGTGTCTTTATGACGATGCGAATTGTTTTGACTAAAAGAAATATATCGTACCTTTCTCCTGTCTGTAGATCAGACATCTCTATCTGATCGAGAAACCATGACCTATGCTTTCCCTCTCCAGAGTTATCGTGCCAAATTCTACAAAAGCTGAGAGGTCCTAATTTCTCTTCCACACTAAGAATATAGTTCATGATGCTTCCTTTTTCGTGAGTCTGTGAATATAATAACTTAACTTAATCTGTAGCCTAATTAAAAATAGTCTTATTAACTAATTGATCCGGTTTATTTTGAAACTGAACACTTATTTTATGTTAAGTTTACATGAATGGTTATTAGGATTTCGAACCGGTTATAAGTTCTTACAAAATGCAGTTAATTCCTTTTTACAATACTTGATCTCACGCATGATTTACTTCAATTCGATATTTAAACTCATATACAAAAGTCAAATCCTTATTTATGTAAGCTTGACACATGTTTACTTACTGGATTTCAGTTTGCTGTAAAAAGTTAATTATCACCAACTTAAGAGATACATATTCAAAAGAAAATATACTTCTTGCGCTAAGTTATATGGTTCAACTAGAGTAGAACAGTCTTGGAATGCATGATTTTGGACAAACCTTTCGTTTCCCATCAAACATACGCCGTACACCTGTATCCCTGTCTTCGCCAGAAATAATAAAACTGATGTTAGACTTGGTTCCAGCACCTTTTTTCATGCCGGTATATACAGAGAGTTGGTAGTGATATTGGTCAGTCGGCAAATTATCTTCAAGAGGTGTTGCTCCCCACTGGTAATACATAATATAATCACCTTAATATTTATAAATGTTATAAAATAATATTGACCATAATTAAATTAATAAAACTTCAATTAATGCTAAACAGTACTATATAATTGAGTGAGTTGTACTAAGCTTTCAAATATAAGTAAGATTTTAAAAATAATTTTAGAAGTAATTTCTCACCAAACACATATCTATCATTTATTAGAAATAGTAGGAAATCATTTTACACACCTTGACCAAATCTTTTTTATCCATGTACCTTGCCCAAATCAAACCAAACACATAGAGACCGAGGAGCGAGATTATAGTACTGAATACCGCAGCGTTCTCATTTAAATCTTTGAACTTGGCCCATACATTATTGAAATCTATTGTATTGGGTGGCACCACCATTTCACCTCCAAACGAAGTCAAGTGACTACACAGGCATTGTGTGGCATTTACCGTAGTTAGATTACCAACCTTTAAGAGAAAAATGTAACACATATACGCACGATGTACTCAGACTAAAGTTATATCTAAAACTTTAGTCAGAAAAATGTTTAGTTACTATATATAAACATTCGTAAAGACAGAATACAAAGTGGCAGCGATTTCAAGAATGCTAAGGAATATGAATATAAATCTTTGTCATACGGCTAAATTTGTATTTGAGCACAATAATTTAAATTAAACAAAATACTCACTAAATTGGTTAAAATCACATGCTACAAATCATATGCTTAAGGCCAAATCAAATTCTGTTCCCCATTCTAATCATAAATCCGCACCTGATACTAATTGTAAGGATCATCATTATTGTTATTCAAAATTGCTGTGTTGTGTGTGTTTTTATACCCCCACAAACGAAGTTTAGGGGGGGTATATAGGAGTCAGCTTGTCGGTCGGTCGGTCGGTCGGTTGGTCGGTCGGTCGGTCCGTCGGTCGGTCCACATCATGGTTTCCGGACGATAACTTGAGTTTGGAATGAGGTATTGTAATCAAACTTGGTATATAGCAACCTTATGTGGAAACTCCGGTTGGTATTGCATTTTGACCCCCTGGGGTCAAGGTCAAGGTCACTGTTACTAAAAATAGAAAAATGGTTTCCGGACAATAACTAGAGATAGGAATGAGATATTGTTATTAAACTTGGTGTATAACAAGCTTATATGAAGACCTGGGTTGGTATTTCATTTGGACCCCCTAGGGTCAAGGTCAAGGTCACCGTTTCTAAAAATAGAAAAATGGTTTCCGGACAATAACTAGAGTTAGGAATGAGATATTGTTATCAAACTTGGTGTATAGAAAGCTTATATGAAGACCTGGGTTGGTATTGCATTTGGACCCCCTGGGGTCAAGGTCAAGGTCACAGTTAATAAAAATAGAAAAATGGTTTCCGGACAATAACTAGAGTTAGGAATGAGATATTGTTATCAAACTTGGAGTATAGCAAGCTTACATGAAGACCTGGGTTGGTATTGTATTTGGACCCCCTGGGGTCAAGGTCAAGGTCACCATTACTAAAAATAGAAAAATGGTTTCCGGACAATAACTAGAGTTGGGAATGAGATATTGTTATCAAACTTCGGGTATAGCAAGCTTACATGAAGAACTGGGTTGGTATTGCATTTGGACCCCCTGGGGTCAAGGTCACCGTTACTAAATATAGAAAAATGGTTTCCGGACAATAACTACAGTTAGGAAAGAGATATTGTTATCAAACTTGGTGTTTTTGCTTGGATCCCCTGGGTTCAAGGTCAAGGTCACTGTTACTAAAAATAGAAAAATGGTTTTCGGGCAATAACTTGAGTTAGGAATGAGATATTATATTTAAACTTGGTGTATAGCAAGCTAATATGAAGACCTTGGTTGGTATTGCATTTGGACCCCCTAGGGTCAAGGTCACCGTAACAGTGTTACTAAAAATAGAAAAATGGTTTCCGGACAATAACTAGAGTTAGGAATGAGATATTGTAATCAAACTTTGTGAAAAGCAAGCTTATTTGGAGACCCCAGTTGGGATTACAATTAATTGAAATATTTATTTGTACACAGTTGATAGTTTGTGTTCAAATTTTTCTTTAGACTACTTTTTTTCAAAAAATAAAAGTTGCTGGTGGGGGTATTAATCACCTTCAGTGATAGGTCTAGTTTTTACTAATTTTTCCTATAAATGTTGCATGGTTAAGTCCAGACTGATTTAATATATTTAGAATGGTGAAGATAAGTAAAACATAACATATTTCCCTATTTCTATATACGGAAACTTCAAAATTAGCGGTCTAATCTTGACTAAAACATAGAGTTTTTTTTATTCACTCGCTACTCCGAGAATTCGTAAAGAAAAAAATATCTTTCTCTATTTATATTCCTTTTTTTGCTCGCTTGTTCATCAAAATTATGAGGGTTTTCTCTGTAAGTATCCGTGGAACAAGAAATCAACTTGGTGTGGCCTAAATTTACATTTTTAAACGTACCACACAACCGTCCGAGTCCCATGTTTCATTCTCATGGTTCCAGAATCGACAACCACCAATAAACATCTGCCAGGTGTAGTTAAATATTGACTGTTCCTGTTGCAGATCGAACTTACCCTCTAAAAACAAAAAAAGAATATATATTGCGTAACTTTTATATTACAGTGATAAAAAACCACACTAAATAAAAATCTAAAACCATGCCTTAAACTGTTGCAATTTCGGTTTGATTAAGCCTATTCATGGACTGTAAAGTAGGTGCAAGCTACCATCCACACATTTCTGTTTGAACGAGGTCAGTAAGTTAATATGTTTAAATTGTATTTCAGGAAAGAGTCAGCTGCCATTTATACTATTTGCATATATCATGTACATGTAACATTTATACTTGTATCAAAAGCTAATTGCATATATCATGTACATGTAATGTGGGGTTCAATGCTTATGGCAAGTACTACAGATAATATAGTGTACGGCACGTAAGAATCATGGAACTAAAGATAAGATGAACATCTCGAGGTCTACTTTAGATAAAACACAGGTGAAATTGGGCTACAAAGGAGATAATTTTTTTCTTTTTTTTTAATCTTTGTTCTATATCATTCAATATTTCTTCTGTTGTATACCAATTTAAACAAGATTTAAAAGATGATGATATCTATGTTCATATTGATTAACTGTTTAATACTAAGCGCTAAAAGTGAACTTAATGAAAATATGGTATTATCTGATATTCTCGAGGAAATACAATTAGAAAATAACCGAATGAAAACCGAATTGCATATGCTACAACATGATATTGCAATTCTTAAAAGTGAAAATAAAGAACTTAAAAGAAAAATTACGCTTCTTCAAAAGAATGGATCGAAGTGAGCGACACAGAGAACAACAAAATTACTGTTCCACCGTACCTAGATAATCAGAAACGGTGTAAGTTAAACCATTTATTTGTAACATTCTACGTTTTATATAAAAAGTAACAAAAATGTCTTTTTAAAATGCCAGGTCAATTTAAGTTATCAGAAAAACAATAAACAACAAATTCTGTTTTGAAAATATATCTAAAAATTTTGCTTTTTATGTTTCAGTTTTAATACAAACAATGGAAACTACTAAGAAACCGAATCCAACGTTTGTTTCAACACCATTATCAACAACTGACTCAACAATTAAAACATCAACAATTGCATTTTCGGCTTCCTTTAACAAACCCATTGATTGGACACATTCAGAAGGAGAGTTTATCGCAAAATTTGATAAAATAACAACAAACAAGGCCCATCAATATGATCCTCTTACAGGATTATTCACTGCACCAGTAAGTGGGACATACTATTTCTACACGAGTTTAAAGTGTGACCATTCATTTATCAATGAAATTCGTTTTGTTAGAAACAATGACAGTGTCTTTAGCTGGGATAAAGGTTTAGATGACAGTGGCTCGATAGCCATGGTGATGAATTTAGATGCTGATGACCATGCATGTGCATGTTGAACATTATCTATGGAAAAAGGATTATACTTACATACCGTATGCGGGGTCATTTTCCGGTTTTAAGATTTGATAGAAATTATTTGTTAATAATGGTAAATCAAATAGCAAAACTAAATTGATATAATGACATTAAGTAACTAAATTTACAGACATTCTATACCTCTGAGTTTTACACCAACTCTATATATCCCCGCTACTTTTGTTAGCTCCGGGTCAGGATAGAATGTGTGTCGCAATGTGTCTTCTTTTTCCCATGTGAGATTCAGCGCAAAACTGTCCTCCGGGTGAGGTAAAGTTGTCCGATCGAGATAGTGGGTCTCATTCGGATACCCTTCGTACTAAATTAAGTGTAAAGCACAAAGATACACATTTTAACAATCTTCACTCGAGCTCAACAACTAACTATATACAGCTCGAATTTCGCTATTCCTTTCATTTTCTGTTTACAACAATATTGACAAATAGGGGTGTCGATAATTCTTTTATAAAAGTATCCTTTTTATCGCCTTAATCTTTAACTATGAAAACAATAATTCAATTATACGTTCAGCGTAATAGCGTAGTGGTTGAGTGTTGGCTTCGTCAGTATAGAGACCCTGGTTCGATTCACTGAAAAGTCATTTTTTCTTTTCTTATTTTTTGTTTTTAGATATTTTTCAACGAACTTGACTTTTGTTCCTCGTGAGTTTATTTCACGCAATACTATTTGAGAACATATAGTTTTACACACATTCGCCTTTAACATGAACTCTTCAAAATCTGAACTCTCTAACCACTAGGCTACTCGGATTTATGTATCCATCCTCAATATTGCAAAATAAAAAGCAAAATGTAATAACTGAATAACACGAGCGATTAATGTAAACGTTATTGTGTTCGACTTATATACAATGTATGTTTGATTGTTCGGTAATTAAACTGCTTGCATGTTAGTATTTATATCACAACCTGCATCTTTGTACAAATGCGCGGTAGGGTAGCGATTAACGTGTCTGTCTAGGGATCATGGGTTCGAACTTTGCTTGAATCCCGACCAAAAATCTTCATATGACACCAGTACTGAGAGTGTCCAAGCTTTCATCAAAATGAGGTAAAATGAATACACGTATGTTTAATCTAAACTAGGCTGTTTTTTTATAAGTTAAGTTATATATATGCCAGTAGTATGATACATAGGTATGAAATGATTTAAAGTAAGTTACACAAGCTGTCACTAAATTTGGCATATGTCACCGGATTATGTTATTAAAACTATTCATAATGGCCATAACAACGACTCAATTAATCGGATCTCAAACACAAATGAAATAACGATATTGAATTATGCACTATATACATGTTTTTCCATTTGCGGACATTCGTCAGCACGTCAAATATGACTTGATCATATCTTACCTGCAGTAAAACATCAAACAGATCCTCGCTATTAGAAAATTCTGGTCTTACAATCACGTGTAATGTTGTGTCATTCTTAGTTATGTTTATCATGTGATAATTCATGGAGCTTCCGGTGTCTCCTTTTTTCCATATTAACGTGTTCAACATTGGTTGTTGAACTTTGTCAGGGTTACCTACAATGTTAGAAATTGTTGAATATTAAAGCCCATTTTTAAGATTTTAATCTTATTAAGAACCGAGGATTATTGCAGCTACAACATTTATGTTAAGAAAAAAGAACGAAACAAATAAAACTTACCAGCAAGATATATTTGGATGGGCTCGGTCGTGTTTGAAACTGGTACCTCATCCTTGGCGCCGGGAGTAGAAAGTTTAAATGTTACTACAGCAGTTCCAACTTCAGTTGTGTCATTTTCATTTGCATATGTGAAAGGTGATTGGTCGTTCACAATCAACTTTAAAACAAACAAATAACATGTAAACACATAATTATGACACTTTAATTTTTTTGTGAGTAGTTTAAAAAATAAATCACCGTGATAAATGTAAGCATTGGGGTAAAGAAAATTGCCATGAAGCTATAATGAAGTTAAAAAAGGATTTCACTGACCGTTTGGCCCACTTCAGAACTATTTCCTGAGGAAGAAAGTACTCCCATTGGCATTTTGACTCCAGCATCGTCACCCATACTGTCGTCTTCTGAAAAAAAGAAAACAGAAATGTGTTGACACAGTACAGCAGATAAATTGTCAAATATATTTATCATAAGGTCGATGACTTCAAATCAATTGCCCCTCACTGTTGTAGGTTCGAATTCCGCAAGAGACTTAAAATTCTTTTCTTGAGGAGGCTGTTCAGCTAGCTCAATGAACATCGGTGGTTTAACGCAGGTGCCCGCTCGTCCCTTAAATAATGCACGGAGGGGCACCTGAGGTCTTCATCCATCAGTAAAGCTGGTAAGTCATATGCCCGTTACTGTGATGGCGACTTAAAACCCAGCTAAAGTATAATCTTAAACATATCAGCATATCTTTCAATAATATAAACAGATACGGCATTACCATTTTAAAATAAATGACATTAGTAAACAGCGTTTCGTATTAAATTTTTTATCTTCAATATTTTCAATAATTTTAAACACAATAACATGCCTTCAGTTTCGTTGACAGAAACCTTTTTCATGGCAACCTTTAGACCTGGTGCACCAAGTTCAACTGTCTGATTTGCTTCAGTTTTGTTCAGCAGCACACTAGATACAGAGTCTATAGAACTCAAGAAAGATTTGCTAACATCTCGATCCTGTTAAAATATAAATAGTGTTATACTTTGGAATATATTTATTTGTGACTACTAAATACACAAACGTTATTTTCACTTATGTATGTTATCTGAACGAGTTGAAATGTGTTAAACTATATTTTATTAAAATTAACAAAGTGCCCGTTTCACACTGTTATTTTAAGTACCAAATTACATTTAAATACTACACAATAATATCCCTTTACACAGTGATTTTTGAGTTCCATATTACTTGTTTTAATTTATTTTATGTTGTATAAACATGTTGACTATAAAATCATTACCGCGTCTTTTCTTATTTTATCTCTGCGTCGTTTCTCCTCGTCCAGATACCTATTGTAATACCATTCAACATCTCCTGGTTCTTCTAATACTCCTATATAACAGAAGATATCGTTCCTAGACAATTTGAGAATCTCTGCATCGATCATGATCTCTACACTCTTGTTCTTCAGCACGTGCCTAAATGTATAGATTATGGCATATTTTTTATTCTTACTTCAGATGTAATTTGCTAATGGTAGGTTTTTGAAGTACAAAAACAATTTAAAACTTAGATGTACATGCAAATATTTATGTGTGAAGGCTACTTTTTTCGAATTCGTACAGCTTAATACTAGATTTACAGGATAAGACATGTTCTATCTCTAATATAGACCTCCCGCGACGACAAGTGACATATTTCCCAATTATCTCTGATAATGTGTTTAATGAATGAAATTCCAGAACAATAAGGATTAAAATGTAAACATAGTAGTAAGATAGAGTAAATGGGATGATGAGGCCTTAACTACAATTAAATTAGATATATGAGGTATCTGCAGCGATACAAAAGGAGTATGAAGAAATTTTGTACAATGTTACTAAAAATATAACATTTCTTAGATGCTTTAGATTGTTGAATGTTTCGAATATAAAGTTAAAATAAGAGTAGATTGTTAAACAGTTTGTTTCCCCGGCGTAAAATTAATAATGATGATACTCACGTATATTGTTAATCTTTAATTTTAGAATGGATTGTAGGATTCTGTAATTACTTTGAACATATACGACAAAAAGATGATAATAACCTGAAAATAGATTCGTAGAAGAACAGATACTTGTAGAGTCTGTCTAGGGGAGAACTATGCAGAAGATCACACTTTTTAAGCAGTTTATTGTAAGGCAATGGAGCATTTGATGCAAGATCCTCTTCAGTTAATTCTGTGAGTTCATCTGTATCGTCATCCAAGGTGATATCCGCTCTGTCATCATCCGGGTTCTCTAAAAGAGATTTAAATAAATTTGAAATAATCCAACATTTCAAGTTATCTCTAAGAAGCACAAATCACATGAAAATTACATAAAAGTTGCAAAATCAGTTTAATTGAGTCTGTTAAAAAAGTACTATATCCCCGTACCCCAAGGCACCGCTTTGAGTGGTAGTCAATTTACAACACTGAAAGTGTTGGCATCAATTATCCCACAAGATAAGAACTTTATATTATTTATATGCTACTTAAATTATGTTACATTAACATTGAAGAAACCTTTGAAATTGATAGCACATGGAACTGTCTATGCAAAACCATTTTGTTATATAACATAAAACAAATATTCTACCTTCTTCATCCTCCTCTCCGTCAAGTGGTCCCATAGCCGCCTTTGCGTCTTTCTCTGCTAGTGCGAGATTTTTCTCGTGTTCTGCTAGCTTCTTAGCGACCTCGTCTTCCTTAGGAAGCACGTTACTCACACCAGATACCACCTCTTAAATATAAAAATAAGTATTATGATTCTCCAATGTCCTTTCTGAAAGAACGTTCTCATCATTAAAGGAAAACAAAAATATGGTAGCCAATATACGAGAGTGTGTCAATATGTAATGCAATATGGTCAATAAATTTAGCAAAAGAGCAAATATTTTACAATTTTCTATTTTAGCCCTTCTACATAAACTCCTCCAACAGAAATACAAAGTTTAAGACGTTTAATCTAATTCTAAATGCATCAACATAATAGTTCTCCTTAGGTATATCTTAAAAATTATCTTTAAATAACTGAAGAATGGCCGACTCAAGTCTTGTAGCGATGACCTGCAATATGTTTTTTTATTGTTTATTGTTATTTTTTTTCAGTCTAGAAAGTCAAATCCTTTTTTTTTTCGAAAGAAAAAATCATTTACAGTAGCTTCTTTGTGTTTGTCAAACAGAAAATACAGAGTTTTCATACCAGTCGAAGGAAGAACTTTATTGAATTGTTTTTTATCAATTTTTTTCTGTAATAAATAACATCTCTATAATACTTGGATGTGACAGAGAACGCCTTCTTGAATGAGGAATTTGGACAACAGTTCAACGGGAATTCAAAAACAAACGTACTTAACTTTTTACACTTGTCAATCGCTTAGCAATGCATGGTCGATGAACATTTTTGGTAACCCAAATCTTATTGTTACACTTGCGAACTGGCATAAATTGTGAAACCAGCTATCATCACCAGTCACAATATAACAAAATTTGATGAAACATATTCAGTAATAATTTTCTTGTGCATTTAACTCGCTCCTTCTTCTGGTAAGATGTTTACATATTTGGTATCCATCTGGCATTTATTCGACTTACTTTCAAGTGATTCTTCAGAATCGTATGAGTTGATCCTGTTTATATTCTTGCGATATGGGTAAACGAAAGTATGGTATCAATGATTTGATGCCTCTAAACTTGACTTCATGAGTTTTTTTGTCATTAACTATGGAGAGTTTTCTACCAGACTTTTAGCATCAGAATGTATGCATCCACCTCGAAAGAGTTGCATTAGATACTTCATTGTTGCCATAAATATTACAAATAACATTGTAAACGTTCCAAGCTGATTTTCCTAGTTTTAGTCCCCCATTTTTGTTAACCCCGATTTTCAGTTCTTCTAGCGTTTACCAACCATATTTTACATTATGTTATGAAATTCTTAATCGGTGGACTACACATATGATTTTAGTATCATTTAAAAGCAGGTGCACAAACAAGAATCACGAGCTAAATTAGAAAATATACTTCATATTGCATTACATATTGACCCACCCACGTACAATGTATCTATGGAAGAAAATAAGCCAATATCGTCATTACAATCGTCCTTCTGGACATAACCACTTGAAACACGCAAACTACAAGTTCATTACCTTAACTATAAAAAATGGTGTACAGATCAAGTGATTGTAATCTTAAAATTTAAATAACATTTCCCAAACTGCCAGGGATTTTAATTTATTCAGTTAGCTTTGAAATGTCTGTATGGTCTTAAAAATCTGCAAAATTTATAGCATGTCCAATATCAAGAATAAATAATCTGCATTTTATACCAGTTACTTTCCCCAAATATTGAATTTAATTATTTTATTAAAATTCTTACTTGATCCCACGTCTGTCAGTGTATCTAATGGCTCATCAGCGAACCCTTCGGTGACCTCGGCCGAGTTCTTGATGGCAGAAGTTGCTCCAACCTGTAGTACAAAATATGTACCAATGAAAGATATACAGATAGCTTTGTATTTATTACATCCGAATTGTTCTTTTAAGTTCATGGGTATGCAAGTATATGTTGCATATTTTATGATTTCGGCACATTGATGCGCTAAAGGGTTAAGTCTGTTTGTTTCGCAAGAGAATTTAACTCGTTATTTATAAAAAAATAATTTATTCCAATTTCGAGAACATAAGGCCCTATAGATAAACTTTAGTTAACATACTCTTGCATTATCCGAGACGCTACCAGAATCTTTAGTAAGGCCGTCGACCAGACCAATCATTCCACTAGCTTGATCAATATCTTTAACACCTTCTGATACAGAGTCCAGTGCACCAATCAACTTTGTTTTCAGCTGGAATACAAATAATATGCATTTGATAAATATACTTATCAAGTTTATAGTTGCAGTCATAGACCGGCAAATATCACCAAAGCATATGTTATATATAAGATGTTGTAATTGTATTCAAATTTATTTTGAGTTTCGCTAGCATGTCTCAAAACAGTTCCCATCGCCTATAGTTGGCCATCGTATCTAAAAATAATGAATTTGATCTCTGGCATAAAAGTTCGCATTTTAAATATTTAAAACTGAGTATTGAGGTCGGCCTATAAAATGATGGTAATTCAAAAATAAACTTTAAAGTTTACACGCAATAAATAAATGCAGTATCTAGCCGAAGCTTTAAAAATAAGAATTTGAAATACATAGATGTTAAAATATATTTGATAAGGCCGGCTACACTTGGCTATCGCCCCCAAAAATAATTAATTTAACCACGGTAAAAATATTTAAGGTCCAGCAAAAATATTAATTATTGACAAAAACAGCCACATTTTATCTATTTTTTTACCGCGCCTAATATAAAGTGTAACATTTCTGTCGGAGCTAAAATCGTATTTTTACAGAAGCTTAAATATTTTAACCGCGGCTGAACTACTTTTTATCGGAGCTTAACTATTTAAACATCGGCTAAAACAATTATTTTTGGTGATGTTAACCAGCTTAAAATCATATTCTTGCAGGAGCTTAAATATTTTAGCTGCGGCTAAAATCGTATTTACGCCGCGGCATAAATCGTATTTATGCCGGAGCTGAAATATTTATACGGCGGCTAAATCAATTATTTTTGGTGACGATGGCCAACGATGGTAGTTTCCTGTAACACCAATGCACAAAGCACAAGAGGGCTGTTGCCAGTTTATTCTATAAGATTTTATACTCGTATGCTCTCCCTATTTTCCGGATTACTCCATTTTATTGCAAACATATGCATCGACCGATGTGCAATTAGCAAATTACGGTTCCTACAGAAAACCACCTACAGGCAACGGATAATGACCTCCAGTTTTAAAAGTACTAAATAAATGCTGCTCTATTGGCCCTAAACGTATTTTTGTAAGATAGTAATTCATATATGTCATATAAATGTGTTCAGTGTGTACAGTGTGATCCTTTTTTTTCTCTAAACCTGAAATATTTACCAGTATGATACTATCTAAAAAAAAAAGAAAAATACTGACTAATGACCATATACTATTAGATATCAGTAGTCTTGCCGACTTTGAAAAGCGCACACGACTGAACTATATGAGTTTTATAGTGTGTCTCTGCTTTAAATCACTAATTATACAAGTAAATGTAAGTGTTCCCATATAATTTTAGTGAAAAACAATATGACTGACCTCTGTCATGGCTTCTTTGGCCTCAAATTCTTCCTCTTCTGAACTGTTTGTCTATAAATATATGCAATACAAGTACATGTATCATGGTATAAAATACATTAAAACTTCTAAAATACATTTCCGAACTTTACATGCTTCACCATATGTTTATTTTAATACACATAAGAAACGTATTAACCTGTTTTATGTTTCTTGTTTTAATAAAAGTTTCTGTAATTTGTTTCTGTTATTTGCAAAATGGTATATAACGGTTTACTTTATGTAATAAAGACACGTGTTAAAAAGATAGTTGTTTGTCGTAATCTCTAATTGTATCAATATCGAATGCTTAGCACAAGGCTGTCGTTTTTTAAGATGACTTAAAATTACAATGAAATAAGTGACGAAATGGCGTGTGATTCATAAATAAAATTCTTAGAATATCTATATAGAACGTACCGGGCTGACAACAAAGGTTGCAGATAAAGCTTCCACCGCTCTCATAACGCCAGTTGTATCCTTAGAGGCCAGAAGGTCGTCCAGTTGGTCGAGTAAGTTAGAAGCGTTACTCAGTCGAATCTCAAAGGTTACATGGGCTGATGTTGTAATATTGTTTTTAGTCACGAACAATATCATAGCAAATGAGTTTACATCACTCACAAAATATTCTGATGGAAGGTTGAACTCTCCTGCCGGAAAACGCATATCCTTGGTAAGATTTCCAGACCGTAAGAAACACGGTGTGTATTCATAAACTGACACTGGGTTCTTTGATTTATATTTATGTGTAATACCTGTAACTACTAGAGACGATTTATTGAGCATTGGTTCACGAGGCTCGCTTTTTTACGTCAGAGTATTTCGTCTCCTCCATAAATACAAGATCGTATACAATACCATCATGTGTATGAAAGTCCGGGTCAATGGATTTGGGGAACTTAAGCATGGTAGTACCATATACAAGGAACCAGAGGTGCTCGTCATTATTTTCTATCACAGCATGAGGAGGAGACGGATTAACGTTCATGAAAAATTCGTGCACACTTGTTTTAAGAGGATGATCAGAAGGAGAAACCACTAGCGTTACTACGTATGAACCAAATGGAAGTGACGCCATTGGATACTGGAAAATTTTCTCTCTTGTTTCCTGAATACATATTCCTGTGTCATGGTACGGACGTCGTATTTGTTTACCATCCTCCATAATAAGTTTGTCCGTCCTCCACGAAAATGTTGGGGTAGATGAAACACATCCAGTCAAAGCAACAGATGCCGTAAGATTGATTTTATCAGATCTGAAGTACTGTAAAGGATTACGCATGGACGATGCATATTTCGAGATAACAGTTAAAACGGGCGTTTTGCATGTTGTATTCTGTTCATCTGCAATAACTACAACTGGACACAGATTATCCCAAGCCCAATTAAAATGGTTTACAGCTTTTACTTTTATGGAAAACGTACCAACATCTTGATATCTATGAGTGACTTCAATAGTTCCGTCTCGCCTACGCCGGGCAAATGAATTATTCGTTGTGTAAGGGTTGGTTGCGTCATCAGGTATTGGCTCCATTGTTGTAATATACATCGTTGTCGTTGTCGGAATTTCTGTGTTGTTGTTGTGACTATCGAAGTTGTTGTTCCATTACTTTCGTGATATGAGTAGTTTCCAGTGGAGGAAATTGTTGTATTTGCGGTGTTATTATATGATGATGTAAAGGTTGTCCAAGATTCCGTTATTTGTTTCACAGTTGACGTCGTCGATGATTCAAAATTAGCATTGTCCGTGCTTTCAGCATTAAGATTTGTATCATTTGCTGCCCGCCGACGACGATTATTTATAGTTTGAGTTGAACTTTCGAAACTTACAGTAGATGGAAAAGTAGTTTGGTCCGTAACTTTATTAGTGATTTCATTCGTGTAACTGAGTGAGGAAGAATTTTCGAAGTTCCCACTAGTTGTATTATTAAGAGACGTTGTATCGTTACTAGTCTCAAACGATGTTGTGGGAGCAACAGTAGACGTAGTGGTGCTTGTGGTTGTTGTCGTAACTTCGAAATTTTCAGTCTGTTTCAAGTACCTGTCTGTGATCACAAATGTTTCACCGTCACCAAAATCTATTATAAATGTCTTATCAGAACCTTTAGGACATCTGATAATAGATTTTGTGGTCTCGTTCCTTCTAAATCTACCAGCAGATGGCATTGTGATGTCAACATATTTGATTCTCTCGCCAACTTGCACAGTGATGCACTCTATCACGGAGCTAATTTTGTTAAATGCACGGACACAAATGTCATATATTCCCCAATTTGAATACTTGTATTTATGGTGGTATGTAGGAAAGAATGTTTTTTCATTGAAATGGAAGTAAGTGTCGACATACCCATTTCCTTGATCTATCTGAAAGTTAACTTTCATGGGACCTCTCATTCCTTCATTTATGTCTATCAGTAACTCAACGGGGACTTCTTTATCTGTTATATTTGTTAAAGACAGGCTAATTGAACGAATAGGTACTTCCACGGAAACTAACATGTCTGCTGTATTGTAACTGATATCATTCGAGATATTTGCATGAATGGGATAGTACCCTAGCACAGGAAAAGTTATTTCAAACACTATGTCGCTTGGTTTCCGTAGATAATGAATATAAAAGATTTGATCCTCACCGGCACCAAAGCTGACATTAAGGAACATGTCGTTTCCCGCAGGAACTTGTACTGTGATGTTTGTTGTCAAGTTCCAGGCTCCGTCGATTTTAGGTGACGAGATTTCAGGCTTTTCTATAATATTTTGTACGCTTATTATACGTCTATCTACAATAACTTCTTCATACTTGTAGGTGAGGTAATTTTCATGGAGACGGAAGAATGTAGGCTGAATTTCAAATTCGGAATAATTGGATTCGTTTAGAGTGACAGTCATGTTTTTATCATTGTGTTCAATGCCAACATTTCGGAGAAACTCAAGCTTGCCAGCAAATGGTGTAGAAAAACTTTCATCTTTATCCTGAAAATGATATGTGGTTTCTAACTTTTGAGAAGTAAAATATGTTCTGTTTTCAATCAGTCCGTATGGATTAACACATTTTACGTTGAGTTTATAATGGCCGATTAGCGGATAAACATGGGTCATATGAGCTGTTTCTACATAACCATCCAGACTTATTTTCTCTACATCGGTTACATTAGTATCACCATACTGAATATGACACCTCCCTGTGGCATAATCGATGTTAGTAAAATCAACGTTCGCCAGTCGACTTTTATCTCCGTGGAAAGTATCCAACATAACAAAGTCTCCGGGATATCCTTCATCCACATCTTTGACAGTTACGTACGTTGAACCACTTACTGTTGCTATACCAATGTGAGCAATTACAGTAATGTCGTATTTACTAGCTTCCGTCCAGTAGTAGGATACTTCTTTACTGTAAATATCTGTGACAGTACCATCACCAAAATCAATCGTGAATGGAACGTCGACAATAAAGTTAGTTGCTATTTGAATTTTGATGGACTCAAGTGGTATGACATATTCTTTATTTCCTAACTTCTCTGCAGTGACGACAATTGAATAGTCAGAATCCGTACTACCGAGACCGGAAGCTGAGAAAAAGTCCCAGAAGGCCTCATCTGCGCACTGCGATATTTCAGTGAAGATAGTGTCGGCTGCTGTTGAATCTACGCATGCGCATTCCTGATGTTTGATGGCTGCAACAGTTTTCGTCGCTGACGAGCAAATGGCGCGGCATTCTTGTACTGCAGATTCAGCAGTTAACGGGTATGGCGTCTCGTCGGATTCTAGTGGCCCACATCCGATCCATAGCATGTTCTCGTCTGAAACATTGTTAATAAAGTATTTTATCACAGTCAATTTTCCACAACGTGTGTATCAACCTCACAACACTATAAAAAGGACGATATAAGATATTTACATGTTTATTGAATGCAAAAGGCAATTTTCATTCAATAAAGAAAGTTATAAAATGCGATGTGATTTAAATTGAACTGAACTCAGTTCTGTGATGTTTTTAAAATAAATTTGTAACTTTATATACCGGTAGGTCTAAATCTATTTAAGAATTTTTATGTATGTACTCATTTTTCATATATTTATATAAATCACACACCTTAATTGTCAATTAAGATCCGTGTATAAATATAGGTCGGCGAGGGCTGAAACAATTATAAACTTATACCTATCACATTAAGAAGGTCATTTATTGTCCAATCATAAACGCTCAGTTTTGCTATTTCAAACCGGTTCTCGTGCAGAAGTTCCGTGCCATCGGCATTAAGTCCAACAACGACGTCCATGAAGGCGTCGAACGCGAGCTGTTGGTAATCTCTCGTCACTGACTCCTGGTTCGAGTGCTGAGCTCCATTCACCATCAATGTTAGACCGTCTGACAAAGGATCCCAATTGGCAAAGATGTTGACCCACAACCCTGGTCGAACACGAAAATGGGCCGTCCATAATTGGTCGTCATAGGCAACACCAAACTCGTACTCATCACCATAACGCTTAGAAAAAGTAACAAAAAATAGTTCATCAAGAAAGTGCAAATAACGTTTAAAAATATATAATATATTTAACTATGACTGTGCAAATCAGAACATGAAAATATAAAAAAACAACATATTTTACCAAGCTTGTGTACAAACTAAGAAACTAGAAATTTTACCAAGATCAAGTAAATAAATATCTAAATATATCACCAAGATGAAGGTATAATTCTGATTATAATCTTAATATATATTTTAGCAGTAATATTTTAAGTTACAAAATCAGAGAATGATTATGGAATTATTTATACAGTAAAAGAGTATCGAGTATTTATTTTTGATACTTGTTTACTTGGGAATTGGTTTATTTCTTACTTTCCGCGGAGTGGGATCAAGGCCGCGAACTTCTTATCAATAATAACAGAATTAAAAGTCAGAAGTATCTAATTATCATTTAATATCAGTTCGATGACGACAGCCGTCAAATATAAAAACACAAGAATAACAAATGGTGTAGCTGCAGGTAACTTACTGCTTTTCAAAAAATGATATCATACATATCTTTACTTATTTTTATCAAAACATTTGTTCACGTTTCACTCAGAGATTTCCGATTCACACAACATTATTGTTGTGTTTGTGAGATTTTTTAGTTTCAACTATTTGGCTTTTTTCGATTTGGATGGTTCCAATATTACTACATTGTACTTGAATAATGTTGCATCACCCTAACGATATGTTGCCTGCTTTGTAACTTTGTCTTTTAACGTCTTATCTGTAATATGCAGGCTTCATAACTTCTGATCCCCTTTCAAAATTCCATTTTATTTAGTTCCGCCGATTGTTTTCTCGTTTAGGACATACGTTTTCTATCACTTGGGGACCATACGTCGCTTTTCATGGAATCGCACAGAAGTGTCACATTAAAGGTTGCATGATAACCGTCGTTTGAACACATCTGTGGATGTTTCTAAATTCAAAATTTTGACGTTTCATGTTTAAATGAGCCGGCGCTAGGGGGCGTGGACGGTAGTTTGCACATGACAGTACCGTCCATGAACAGGCTCAATCAAACCGAGCCTGCAACATTTTGCCGTTTTGGACTTTCTTTAGATGTTCTTATTTTCTCTATTTTAATATTTTTAAGCTTTTATGTATTAAGATTTTCACAACGTGCATGTACATCATTCGATTAATTAAAAACGCTAATAAAAAACCCAGCTAGCTTTCGGTCTTTCAGCCTTCTTCAGTAACAGTTATTATATATGTTCGTACTTATATAAGTTTGTATCTACATGTGTATTTGTGTGTATAGTATTATGCTGGTGAAGCAGGTCAAAAGATGGGAAACTACGTCAATGTGACTGAAGCGTTTTTTTGTTGTTTTTTGTTGTTGTTTTTTTTAAATATACGGCATACAAGGGATTTTATTTTATTATTTGATTAAATATATATAAGACTGAAACCTTAAACGTGATCTATATAATATCGCATGATTCCTGTATGTGACAAAGATAATCATGATGAAAAACTCTGTTTTATGGTTATATTGTATCTGGGACATAATATGATAAAGTTATAATAAAAATAGTTCGTATTAGATATATAAGGAATATTAATGGTGTATATCCAACAAGAAATAGTTTTGTTTTAACCTTGTTTATGAAATTTCATACATCCAACACGTATTTAATCTATATATTATTGTAACCATAAAAATTATAGTGTGTTTCCTCACACTTAACATTTGTCACACGCCGGAAAAAAGCCAGCGCATGTATATAATACCATAATACCAGCTAAAAGCTAGAGATGAAATAAGTGAGGGTATAATGTATATACCAGGGCATTTTTATTTTCATTACACTTACCTACCAATTATTAATTTTGCGTTGACGATTTTTGTTTTTGTTTTTTTATTTGTTTGTTTGTGTTTTTTTTTGCATTTAACCAATCTAAGTTCCTCTTTATAGTTTACATGACATGACATGAAGAAGAAAAGTTTATTTCCAACTTGTACAAATAGAGTACCTCGTTGTTTCAAGTACATATAAAATATTATGAAATTAACAATGTCACAATGATAAGGAGCATATGTCAGCTAATTCAACATAGAAAATAACAAAGTGTGCAAATGTATAGAATGCATTATGCATACGCTGTACAAATAATTTAAACAATCATTAATGTACTTTTAACAAATATTTGAATTTATCAACACTCCTAACAAAGATCCGAAGTATATTTGACTTTATTACTTAAATTAACTGAAAATACTAAATAGCTTTATTTATTGTAGTTCATATATCACTATTGATTAACCTGTACTATTTAAGACACATGCTTGGAGAATGGAAAAAAAAAATTTCTTATAGCAATGTATTTATAAGTCCGATACGAATTCGACCAGCAAGGTAAATGTATTTAGAAAGGTTTTTTTAAGTGACGTTATTTTTCGAATTAAGTAGCTGTGTAAATTTGTACATGCTAGCACGCCTATAAAAATAAGGTTTGATGTACTGTAGACGCAAAGTTCGATAAGCGTTACATTTAAGAATAAAATGGTACTCATCCTCAATGTCGGATGTTCCACATATATTGTCACATTTTGTAAAAATATACATGTATATATAATTTAATATAATTAATTTACCTGTAACAAATAAACGCCGTTTGAATACCAGGTATGACCCCCAGTGCTGAATACAATAATGTCCGATGCGTCTTCGGCAATTTCTGCAAATTTGATCCATAAATCAACTGTTAAACCATTTGTACAACGGGACATGTTGCCGAGGCACCAATGTGGCCATTCCCCTAAACTTGCATATGACCCGTTGAGAGTCACGGTGAAAGCGGCTATGTCAATTGGGGCCGTTTCCGTGCCATTTTTTTCTTTGTACACAAATTCAAACTCGCTACCAGTACATATCACAAAACCTGAAAGAGTGGTAAAATAAGTAGGATTTTTCTATGTAAATACCATTCTGCAAAAATAAAAGTTAATTAGTATTTTCTCGCCGAGAAATATATCTACAATTTTGTTATCTAATCAGAAGAAAAGGGTACAAACAGGACTATAATTTCAACAAAAAAATAATAACATAAAAAATATAATAAAACATGAATCTATTAAAAATATCAAACTTACTTCAACTGGACCATCTGATAACTTATACAGTAGTGAAAATAAATGTACTTTTTGTAAAAAGAAGATAAAAACGATATTAAGATTATTCAAGTAGATTCATTTTAAACAAATAAGCTTTTGATTGTGTACAAGACACATTTTTATGACGATAGATTATTTAAAGAGCGATTTCGGAACTTTTCTTGACAGAAAAAAATATGTTAATATTTATATTTAACAGGAAAGTGAAAAAGTAATTTCATAAACCAAACTTACACAACACAAGTGATAGTATAAAGACTAAACTCCGTAATTCCATAACCATGTACACTTTTTTTTATTTATATATATATATATATTTTCTGTATAAAAATATCATATGTGGAACGTGTTAGACATATTGTAGCCACGACTACCGGAACTTTGTTAAGATTTCTTGCACAATCAGAGAATCTCGACCGAAGTTCTCTTCTTCTTCAGGGAGTTATAAATTTTTGATGAATCAAGACTTTATTCTATTAATTAACAGTGGGGTTCTTACCTGGCCAGATACATAAAACAAGAAGAAAGCAATAAGTCAACAATGTAATTACTGGTATCAATTGAGAAAACGTGAATAATTGAACGATCCGCGTGCTGGGCCCAACATCTAGTCATAAACATGTTTGCCGACCAAAAATTGTTTTACCGATACAGTGTTCCTAATTTGGTTGTATTGCGGATCACGACATATATTTGTAATAAACCAGGTATCTTATAGGTAATTCACGTCATCCAACAAGACTAGATTATGATTAAGGTTATTCAGATAAAAAAATCTATACCATACACAAGATCTAGTCTATACCAGAAACACCATTAACCAACAACTTTACAGATGAATTGAATTATTCATTAGAATACCTAAATGTCAATATTAATGCAATTATTTTTATCTGGTGATGTTAATATTGTAGTTATTTATGAAAGACTACCCGAAAATGTAAAGTCGGTCGAATGCTAACAAACCGCTTCTAAACAAACATTTTTAGATAATGCTTAATGAAAATACGATTTTGGATGCTGCTTAAAGCATTTTTAAATGAATACAATAAACATGATTTTTTTTAACTTGTTAACTTGATAATGTTATAAGTAAAATTATGATGGTTTACTTAGAATGAAGAATGTATTAATATGTTGAATCATATTTCAAGTAATAGCTAATCCTAGTATAAATATTTCGTTCAACATATTATTTATAAATATCTGATTTATATGAAATTCAAAATTGACAATTTGAATGCTAAAAGTGTCTGTTTGACGTTTGTTTTTTCTTCTTCAAAACACATCCTATTTTGTATATTAAAAACACAAAAGCATGAGTTGAAAGACACGGTTTAATGTTTAGTTCAAATAAAATTGCATTAGGACATTTTTCTGGATAGCGTAGTAACGGTGAGAGGAAATTAACAAAATTTTATTTTAGAGAGTGGGTTGAACCAACTCATATAATCAAGAGTAAAAAAAATCAAGTAAATTGTACCTACATTGTATTAGTGGTATATGTGAACCATAAAAGGATCAGTTTCTACAATATGGGAACGTATCAAATGAATATACATACCTACTATACAAAATATTGGGAAAAAATAAATAATCGTTAATTTAATTATGACAGGGTATCACGGCTACTCTCCATTATGTTATCGTGCTGCAGGGTAGTTTATAATTATCTCAACAATATATTATAGTTCGTTTAAAGTAGATAAATCTAACACTTTGGTACGGTCCTTAATCACACGCGCATTACCAAACACTTATATCGTGACTTTTATTGGCATATTAAATGAAAAACGGGCATGTCAATTGTGGCGTCGGATGTGACTTTTATGGCATCCCCGCTTTATTCTTGTTAACATGTGGGGCAGGTCAGGTAAATAGTGTAACAATGTTGAAGAAGATTATCATCTTAAATTAACAATGTAGTAAAGATATCTGGAAATGAAATGATGTGTAGAATTACTTGATCTAACAGATTTATATCTAAATCAACTTTTCGATTGTATCAATTTGCATTTTAATTACCGCTGTAAACTAAGGCTAACAAGGGAGCAATATCGTTATATAAGCACATTAGTCACTTTAGGACCACATGTTATCAAAATATTATATTAATACATATATACTGGCGAAAGTATAAATAAAGTTGAATTCGCGCACCATATTCCTTTCTTTCCCTTTTTTGCTCTTTTTATAGGATACAACTCTTTCTATTTCAAAGCTTATTTATTATTTAATTATTCATGGGGACAGCTGGCATTACGAGGACTGTGAGGGTGTAGGGGGCATGTAGGGGTGTTAGGGTATGTAGGGGGCATGTAGGGGTGTGAGGGTATGTAGGGGTGTAGGGGCATGTAGTGATGTGAGGGTATGTAGGGGTGTAGGGGGCATGTAGGGATGTGAGGGTATGGGTATGTAGGGGTGTAGGGGCATGTAGGGATGTGAGGGTATGTAGGGGTGTTGGGGGCATGTAGGGATGTGAGGGTATGTAGGGGTGTGAGGGTATGTAGGGGTGTAGGGGGCATGTAGGGATGTGAGGGTATGTAGGGGCGTAGGGGGCATGTAGGGATGTGAGGGTATGTAGGGGTGTAGGGGGCATGTAGGGATGTGAGGGTATGTAGGGGCGTAGGGGGCATGTAGGGATGTGAGGGTATGTAGGGGTGTAGGGGGCATGTAGGGATGTGAGGGTATGTAGGGGTGTGAGGGGGCATGTAGGGGTGTGAGGGTATGTAGGGGTGTAGGGGGCATGTAGGGATGTGAGGGTATGTAGGGATGTAGGGGGCATGTAGGGATGTGAAGGGTATGTAGGGGTGTAGGGGGCATGTAGGGGTGTGAGGGTATGTAGGGGTGTGTAGGGGGCATGTAGGGGTGTGAGGGTATGTAGGGGTGTAGGGGGCATGTAGGGATGTGAGGGTATGTAGGGGGCGTATGGGGCATGTAGGGATGTGAGGGTATGTAGGGGTGTAGGGGGCATGTAGGGATGTGAGGGTATGTAGGGGTGTAGGGGCATGTAGGGGTGTGAGGGTATGTAGGGGTGTAGGGGGCATGTAGGGATGTGAGGGTATGTAGGGGTGTAGGGGGCATGTAGGGATGTGAGGGTATGTAGGGGTGTAGGGGGCATGTAGGGGTGTGATGGTATGTAGGGGGTGTAGGGGGCATGTAGGGGTGTGAGGGTATGTCGGGGGGTGTAAGGGGGCATGTAGGGGTGTGAGGGTATGTAGGGGGCATGTATGCCATGTGACGGGGTCATGTAGGGGTATGTAGGGTGCCGGAAAACGTATCGTAAGACATAAGTGGTATTTTTCTGATACTTCCTACAAAACAGGACTGCAATACAAACTCTTTTTGAAGGCTTTATTGAGTTTAAGGAACTACTAAAGAAGAGTGAATGGTTTTCAATGTAACCGTTTTGTTAATTTTGATACTTAATTTTAGGGATTTATGCCACCCTTCATTTCCTAAATAAGCGTAAATCAATTTTTACTCAATCGTGTTGAATAAAAGAGCTTTGGGTGTAGATTTACAGAAGTATTTACATAATTAGAATTTTAAAAAAGAAAAGTGCATGAGCAAGCCTCTCAACATTATGTTAATTATTGTTGTAATTACAGTTTACTGTAACCCGGCTTGTCGATACGCGTCACCTGCAACACGTAAACTCAGAAGAGGAGCAGATTTTCGGCTGGACTAATTAGAGCGTTCCGAATGTGTCAGGATACAAATTTGACGACGTTTTTGTCATGTAGTGACATCATTGACTTTGATGTATTTACCGAGATATTTTTAATATCTAATTAACAATTAAATTATTTAACAACTATACAAAGTTATGCCAATGTCAACATTATATAACACACATATAAGTGCTCTGCTAATATTTATTTAATATTTCTTTTTCTCCTGTCAGTGTTAATTTCACTTTTAATGCTGATTTACCGCACAATGAAATTGGCCTGCTGGCATACACTATACGGTAACTTGATAAAAGACCAAAGCCCTAAAGATGGTATTGTAAATAGTGTAATATTAAAGTATATATAGATATCTGCTGCAATTTAAAAAAAAAAGAATACATTTTTGTACTTCCATTGGTTGTATGAAAGAAATTATGGTAGTACATGCATATTGCCTTAAAAGCGAATGTCGCATACTCGTAAGGGCTAAAAGGTTAAAACTCTACTTAAAACAGCAGCATATAACATTTTGTTCCGGTTTAATATTAAATTTTGACCCCGGTAAAAGACACTGGGTCATTTTTCAACTTTTACAATTGCCAACTTTTCAAATAAATTTTTATTTAAAACTAGTTGAAATCCGATCAGTCGTTAAATTTTGATCAAAATGTCATTTTTTACGGTTTGTAAAATTAAAATGTAAAGTTGTATGATATGTTAATAGTGGAGAAATACTTAGAAGAAGCAGAAACTCCCAGTCTTTATAAAAAGTTTTCAAAAGACCAAGCTCGGGCTCAAACTGCTACACAATGATTGTCGACGGATTGGTGTGTGCACAGTCACACGGGGGTCAGATCCTGGAGCAACTTTATCCGGCGTTACTTTAAACATGTTAACACAAGTGGGACATCTGTCTTAGTTGATTCAATTTTGTTTTAAAATAAGTTTTATTGAGAGGGATGCCATATTCTCGTTTTTGTATGATGTCAAAATGTATGGCTAGTGTAAAATCTTTTAAAGCTACATGCCTTCAGATGAGACAAAATATTTTTAAAAAATCAAACTTGAGAAAATTTTACTAAGATCTTAAAAGGACTCCACTGCGGTTTTTTTAACATGGTGGGACTGAAAATATTTTTCCCAGATAAATGTGCCATTTGATGTAGGTTTAGACCACTAATCTTTGTGCAAAATTTCAGATCAATCGCCCACTTCGTTTTTCCAGAATAGTTATTCAAATTGTAAAAAATGACTAAAAAATGAAAAAAATTATAACCTCAGTGGAGTCCCTTTAAAGGGTTAGGTAAAGTAAAAAGATTCAAGATTTGATTAATGGGCTATATATTTGCATATTATGACATCTTTTTGGAGCTTTGCGTGGATTCTGAATTCCGTTTGCGATGTGTTAATTACTTTCTTTGTTCACTACGCAATAGTTAACTTTAGAAAATAAGCAGATGTCTGGAGGCATGCTGCTTTAAATAGTCATGACCAGGGGCTGGTCCAGCTTTTCTGGTTAGGGTTTGTGCAAGAAAACATGATATCTAAGCTCTGTGCATTGTTCTTTCAAAGAAGATTTTTCATCTAAGTGACCCGAGGGGTTGACATATAACTTTTGTAGATGTCCACTAGCCAATGTTACATGCCACACATAGAGATTTAAATGTAATTTCTTATACACATCTATTCAAACTA